TCCACTACCACCCGCAATTCCATTACCGGTTTGCCTGAACTGGTACGAACCGGCTGAATACCACCTCTGCTGAGTTCCCTTCCAACTCTGTGGTTCTGTTAAAAGTTGTCCGCTGGAATAGGGCTACTGGACTCCTGATCTTTGGCTGCAATAGATTAACATGGGGTCTTCTCTATAAGAAAAAGTTATCTTTCTCATTGCATCTCTATATCTTTGTCCTCTCTGAAGACCGTTCTTTGTGAAGGGGATTGTGCAAAAGTTTACGATAATATCTTTGTTAATCCTTAAATTGCTACAAGGCTCTTGGTTGATTTTTCTGCAAAAGGCAAAGCCAACTGCTAGTTTTCTGGAAATTGGACCAACAAGCAATCTTTGCGGTAGACTGCAAACCCCTTTTTGGTTTCATGCATGCATTCTGCTTTCAGACTTTTTCCCTTAAGTGAACTCCCCTTCCTGTTACAACACGGAAAAAAACCTCTCTTTTTTTGCTTATATGATCCCACCATTTCAAGTTCTTCTTTCACTCACTTTTCTGCTGATTCAACCATTTATTGGTGAGGCTTTCTAATCTCCATTGCGGTCAAATTATTTTGGTGCTCTTGACTGGAAAAATAATGGTGGTTTAGGTTCCAGTTTTGTTTGCACCCAGCACACTCCTGGCCAGTTCCTATCCAGACCAGAGCAAATGTACACCCAACTCAGTTCAATTGGACAAAATATTATGTAGTTTGATGTTGATTAATTAAACTTCAGCAAACTTCAGAAACTGGAAGAAAACAGAGCAAAAGTAGGGAGAGAGAATCATGGATAATCATGAACAAGGAGATAAAAGGAGAACTTCATATTTATTTATTTATTTATTGGTTCGATTTATATGCTGCCCTTCTCCGGAGACTCAGGGCGGCTTACAATGCATTAAGCAATAGCCTTCATATTTTTGTATATACCTGCTTAGTAGGGCTTTCGGCCCCCCCTAAGCGGTGTTCTTTTTTATACAAAGTCAGCTTATTGCCCCCACAATCCGGGTCCTCATTTTACCTACCTCGAAAGGATGGAAGGCTGAGTCAACCTTGAACCTGGTGAGATTTGAACTCGCAGTAATTGCAGGCAGCTGGTAGCTAAGTGCTACTTAACAGCACTTTATTCTGCTGCACCACCAAGGCTCCTCCACAGACCATTCCACAGCTGCTGGAAACAGATGGCAGATAATTAGCTAAAGATAAGAGTCAAGATAATAGAACCAAGAAGGAAAATACAGCTAGTCTTCGACTTACAACAGTTCATTTAGTGACCATTGTTGTAACAGCACTGAAAAAAGGGACTTTTTTCACACTTACGAGCATTTTAGCATCCCCATGGTCATGTGATCAAAATTCAGACACTTAGCAACTGACTCATATTTATGGCGGCTACAATGTCCCGGGGTCAGTTGATCACCTTTTGCAACCTTCTGACAAGTCAATGGGGAAGCCAGATTCACTTAACAACCGTGTCACTAGCTTAACGCCTGCAGTGATTCGCTTAACAACTGGGGCAAGAAAGACAGTAAAATGGATCAAAACTCACTTAACAAAATGTCTCACGTAGCAACATACATTTCGGGTTCAATTGTGTTCGTAAGTCGAGGACTACCTGTATGCAAGGATCCTGTAGTTAAACTTCCTGATATTTATTTGATTTCTACAACCGCCCAATTCAACCAATACCCAACTCTCATTTCCATATAATAAAATGGATAGAAACATATTGTTGAACCCAAACATTTTTGAAAAGCTCTTTCAATTAACATTGCTTGCTTGCAATAGGTTGGAAGATGTGGTCCTGCAGGTATTTTGCTGTCCCACCATAAGTCTTTGGAGTTTATTTATTTATTTATTTATTTATTTATTTATTTATTTATTGCGATTTATATGCCGCCTTTCTCCCTAGGGACTCAAGGCGGCTTACAAAATGACAACTTCAATACAAATCACAATACAATACAAAATTAAAATCAGTAACCCAATTAAAAAACAGTTTAAAATTATACCAGTGTACCCCTAAACGGATCAGTTTAATTGGCGGAAGAGCCACGTCATCAGTTCGCGACGGAAGGAAAGAAGGTCGGGGGCTGTGGAGTGACTTCCGACTTCCTGACAGTTTCCCCATTGTTTTTGCTTGTTGGATGCTTTAGAAATCCTGATTGTGTGACTGTGGGGATGCTGCAGCGGCCACAACGTTGCACATAAAACTGTTCCTGAATATCATAAAAATTTCAATTCCACAGGAGTAATGGGTGCCACACTGGCATTCTTCAAGTTAGCGAGTTTTAGGCACCTTGATTACAAAATAGTTGTGGCATAGTGTACTGTTTGGGTTAACTTGAGGGTACCAAAGATAGATAAACACCATGAGAATTTTAGTACTGCAATATATAGATAAGGGCAGGGGTGAAATTCAAAATTTTTCCCTACCGGTTCTGTGGGCGTGACTTGGTGGGCATGGCAGGGGAAGGATACTGCAAAATCCCCATTCCTTCCCCACTCCTGGGGGAAGGATATTGGAAAATCTCCATTCCCACCCCACTCTGGGACCAGCCAGAGGTGGTATTTGCCGGTTCTCCAAACTACTCAACTTTTCCACTACCGGTTCTCCAGAACCTGTTAGAACCTGCTGGATTTCACCCCTGGATAAGGGGAATAAAAACATGCCTTTGGGAGGGGTTTGGCTGCTTGAAATGCATGTTGCTTCATAAACTCTGATTTATGCCACATGTATGAGACATATGATGTGAAGCAAGGTCTTGTGTGGAATAAGGGCGTTTTTCAAAATTATAAGGTAACATTTCCTTTGTATTGAGCTTGAAGTCCAGGAAGCGCAAGGCCACATCTGCGCAATTTTCTTGTTAGCAGTTTCCCACAGCCCTCTTCTGGGAAGTTGTGTGACTTGCAACACTTAAAAAAAGCCAATACATTGCATTGGTTACAAGTCTTCCTTCTGGAGCATCTTTAAAGAAACTGGCTTCTGTTTCCCCTTAGTCTCCCTCTGTGTTTCTATCAATCCAAAGGGATGCAAATTGAAAATCCTATACAGGTAGTCCTCAACTTTAACAGTTCATTTAGTGACCATTTAAAGTCACATCAATGAAAAAAGTGACTTATGACCATTTTTCAAACTTGCGACCCTTATGGCCACTCATTACCTTTATAAAGATAGAATCAAGATCACCTGAAGTGTTAATACTACTTTATAATGCCATGGTAAGACCACACTTGGAATACTGCATCCAATTATCGGTCACCACAACTTTCAAAAAAATGTTGAGATACTAGAAAGAGTGCAGAAAAGAGCAACAAAGATGATTAGGGGACTGGAGGCTAAAACATATGAAGGCTGGTTGCTGGAATTGGGTTTGTTTAATGAAAAGAAGGACCAGGTGACATGATAGCAGTGTTACAATATCTCAGGGGTTGACACAAAGAAGAGGGAGTCAAGCTATTCTCCAAAGCACCTGAAACAGTGGTGGGTTTCAAAATGTTTTACTACCGGTTCTGTGGGTGTGGCATGGCTTGGTGGGCATGGCAGGGGAAGGGTACTGTAAAATCTCCATTCCCTCCCCAGTCCAGGGGAAGGTTACTGCAAAATTCCCATTTCCTCCGGATAAGCTGGGACTCAGGAGGCAGAGAATAGATGGGGGTGGGGCCAATCAGAGGTGGTATTTACCGGTTCTCTGAACTACTCAAAATTTCTGCTACTGGTTCTCCAGAACTGCTGAAACCCACCTCTGACCTGAAGGCAGGGCAAGAAGGAATGGATGAAAACTAATCAACCTAGAACTAAGGAGAAATTTCCTGACAGTGAGAACAATTAATCAGTGGAACAATTTGCCTCCAGAAGTTGTGGCTGCTCCAACACTGGAAGTTTTTAAGAAGAGATTGGGCAACCATTTGTAGGAAATGGTATGGGGTTTTCTGCCTAAGCAGGGGGTTGGACTGGAAGACCTCCAAGATCCCTTCCAACTCTTATTCTGTATTCCTTGACTTACAACAGGTTGTTTAGTGACTGCTCCAAGTTGCAATGGTACTGAAAAGTGTCTTATGACCATTTTTCACACTTATGACCATTGTAGCAGCTCTATGATCACGTGGCCAAAATTCAGATGCTTGATCGTTGCACTCTTCTGGGGCCACGTGTTCTCTTTTTGCGGTCTTCTGACAAACAGTCAATGGGGAAGCCAGAATCACCTAATGACTGTGTTACTAACTTAACAACTGCAATGATTCACTTAACAACTGTCGTAAGATAGATCGTAAAATGGGGCAAAACTCACTTTACAACTGTCTGTCTTGCTTAGCAACAGAAATGTTGGGCTCAGTTGTGGTTGTATGTCAAGGACTACCTATACATTTAGCACTGCATTCTCCTCTTTCGTTAAATTTTTAATATGTGGTCCAATTCATCACAGAGTTGCCTCTGATGTCTGACTGCCACTGGCCCAATAGGAAACCATCCGGTGGGCGTACGCCCTGGCTTTAATGAATGAAAGGCTGAAACTGATAATTCACATTCATCTTTTTTTTTTTTGTCGATCAGAAAGGTAGGCAGTTCGGTGGTTCGAATCCCTAGTACAGGTCTCCTGCGTGAGCACGGGGTTGGACTAGATGACCTCCAGGGTCCCTTCCAACTCTGTTACTGTTAAGTCTCTTGGTTATAGGTATGGCAATCTCTACTGAGTCCTTGGTGCGCCTGCGCAGAGCGAAATAATCTCGAAATTACAGCTCAGCTCCCAAAGGAGGCGCTAGAGATTCGGATGCGGCCACGCTCTTAAAACCAGGAAAACATTCCTGATAAAAGTACCTCCTGAGGCTTTGACCGGACAGTACCTTTTGCGTCTGCGCAAACAAGAATAGCTGCACTGAAAACTACCACCGCCACTGCGCCTGCGTTAGACTACCAGCTGGCTAGCGATACCTCGGGCTATATTATCATGGCGGTTCTTGGAGGGGAGGAGTTGCGCCTGCGCAGAACAAGAAAGGGTGAAAGGTTAACAAGATGGCGCTGCCCATGATCCCAAGATGGTGATATTTTTTCAGGGGGTAGAAACGTGATCCGTTGGTCTCTCCAGGCAAAGGGATCTGGGATGGGGCTTACTGGCTGCCTGACAGCCTTCCAGACAAGGATCTGGGTGGGGTCCAAGAAGCAGCTCCTTCAGCGACCCACAAGCAAGGACTTCGGTGGCCTGCCTAGACTCTGCACAAGGGGGCTGTCTGGGGGATGTCCGAGAAGGGGACGGGCCTCTCCCGGGGTGCCATCGCTGAATCCTTCCCTCCATGGTCCCCCCCGGTCCTTCCTTGGCCTTCCCCTCGGGCTCTTCTTTGAAGGCCGGCCTCGCGGCTTCGCGAAAGCTGCCAAGCCAAAGAGTGTCCGGCACGCCAAAGCCGCCGACGAGGCTGCCCCCATTTTCCAATATGTGGGAGACCGAGCCAAAAGGAAGGACCGGGTCTTCGTGTGCGGCTTCACCTACTCGGGAGCTCTGGGCATCCCTTCCTTTATCGTCCCGGATAAAGGGAAAAGGCGAAGGCGGATCCAGCCCACGCCTTACCGCCTGGAGGTGAAGGAGAAGGTGAGAGAGAGAGAAGGAGGGAAAGCTTCCTGCTTTCTTGGAGTTGGGTCGTTTCAAGAATGAGAAGGGGACAGCAGCACCTACTTCAGTTGCCACTGAAACCCCAGCCAAAATCAGACTTAGTAAGGGTTGGGATGGATGACCACTAGGAAATCCCAGGAAAGCTGGTGTAAGCCCTTTGAGGCAGTCCAATTAGGAAACCAGAACAGAAGTACTGCTACTTTTGTAAGGTTACAGTAAATAAATTTAACAAATAAATAACAGGAACTTGAAAGTCACTTCTCCCCCTCCTTTATATGAATGAAGTCTCTAGAGAGTGAGAGAAGGTCCCTTCTGAGACACTTCCCAGGTCTATTTTCCTTTCTAAGATACCTTTTGCATGATGGTCATCTAAGGTGTGGCTCTCCCTCCTGCCTCCCAAGGTTGTTCACACAACCTGGTACATCCAGACGGTGACATCAGCAAGGAGATCCCAGAAGAAGGCAAAAACAAGCCACTTCTGAACTTTGTTTTCCATGAAATCAGCAAGAGTCAGGCTTGACTTTAAAAATGGAGATCCCGGAGGATATTGCTGTCACTTAGGGGTTAAAGGATATTTCAGGATTGCTACTGGACTTTTCAGAACAGCTTTCCAACTAGGTAACTTTCAGGTATGGAAAGCTGGTGCTGCTGATTGTCATACCATCTTAGGTTAAATACTAAAATTAGCTTGATTTTAATTATGTTTCATAGGTTTCTTCCCCTCACTCCCTACTGAAACAATCTTATAATTCCACCAAAGTCTTTTTTTCCCTTTGTTTTTATTGCCTGCTAAGAAGTGTATCCAGCCAAAACTGATCCTATGCATTATATTAATGTATGCAAGAAGATTTGTTTGCAAAAGAAAGAAGATCCCTTTATATCTAGCCTTTAAAATTCCTCAAGTCTTTCTAAATGAACAACGGATCTTTGAGGGACCAAAAGAAGCACTCTTTGTTCATAATGAACATAATATAAAGGAACAACTTTTCAGCATACGTCTCCCTGTTCTAATTCTTGAACATTATGCATCAGTTTCTCAGAACAATATATGAATTGTTTTCTCAGCTATAGTATATAGGAGGAGATTTTTGAAGCACCAACTATCTCTGTAACAGTTGTTGCTAAAAGAACAATGATTCAGTTTATTATTTATTTGTATTCTGCCTTTATTATTTTTACAAATTACTGAAGGTGGCTTTTGACATCTCTAATCAGCATTCCTATCCTTGAAAATGCAAAGGAGAAAAACAACTGACTTTTTGAGTTGCTGAATGAGAGCCTGATTAAATTTCTGTATACAGTATTCTTCGCTTCTTTCTGATTCAGAGAGTTGGATAGACTTCTTTCCTTTCCTTTTTTGACATTAGAAATGGGGAATTTGTGTTTCCTAAAAATAATATTAGAGTGTCTTTCTTGTTATATCAAAGCCTATTAGCTTTGATGAGGATTGTGATTCAAAAATAGTGGAGAACTACAGATTCCCCATCTTTATTGTATGCTTGTATATATCAAACTAGGGCTAAACATCTAACATATATTGTTTTAAAGATTTCTTCTGCTGCCTGTGGCTACGGGTTCACACTTCTGTCATCCAGAACAATGGATATTACCAAGATATGGGGAATGGGGCTGAATAAAGATTCTCAGATTGGATTTCACAGGAGCAGGAAAGATAAATGTATGTAAAACTCTGGTAATTTTAAAATGCTGTACGCTATCCTTGTTCTTTCACTCCATGCTTTTAATGGATTATTACATATTTATTCCATCCTTTAGTCATCTTCCCAGAATGCTTGGCAGAAAAAAAATAGAGCTGTTAAAATTATACATTAAAAATAAACACGGATAGTGAAGTCAGACTAAAAAGCAGTCTCTAGACTTAAAATTAATATCTATAGTTCTCAAAGAATGGGAAAATGTCTTTGCATGGCACTGGAAAACCATTGGGCAGTTGTCAGGCAAACCTGTTGCAGGAGAATCTGACATTTGGACCAGATGAACATTTGGCACAACCCAGTAAATCTTTCTGCAAGTAGTAGCTACAAATAGAACATGTGTTCAAAAGTATATGACTGGGGACAATAGTTGCCCTAATATCATTGGTGGTGGTCTTATGGAAACATCTTTCTGTCTTTTATTACAAACACAATGCTATGAATAGGCCACCTATGAACAGATGTTAAATTTTTAGATTTTTAAAAAATGGGCATTGCAAGGCCTGCCTTGAAATACATATTACAAGTAGTGATGGTGTGCCTAGCCACAAATAATAGTAATTGTACCATAAATTGCAGAGAGTTTGAAAGCTAATAATTAATAACTAAGCAGTAGTTGAAGTAATTTAAATCCATTTATTGTGACATTTGTTGAATATTAGTAACTTCTGTAGCAGATTAAAGGTACTCTTTGTGTAATACATTGCAATAAATTGTCTGTTTCTTTATTTTTAAGCTAAAGGCTATGAATATGTCTTGGAGCCAAGCCCTGTTCCCTTGCCACTGGCCAAGCCACAGCAGAGCAGAGTTTTGCAAGTATCTTGTGGGAGAGCGCATTCTTTGGTGTTAACAGAAGAAGGAGGTTTGATGGTACTTTTATACTTTATAGAAAGAGACTGACACTAAAGTTAATATATAACTTTGTCATCTTAGAGATGAGCAGCATCTCATCTCAAACAAACCTCTGGTTTTTAAAGTACTGGTTTAAATACACCAATGTGGTGTAGTAGTTAAGTATTGAGCTGTGACCTGGGACATCCTGTTTCAATCCCATCCTTAGCTGTGGCAGTTCATTAGGTGATGTTGGACCAATCGTTCTTTCTCAGGCCAGCCTATCTCATGGAATTGCTGTTCTAGAATTTAAAATAAAGGGAGTTCCATAGCAATCTATTACCAGCCATGATGATGTCAAATGCCATCGGAATCCATCGTATCATCAAAAATGATATGAATTGTGCAGTTTACACCAGCAGTGTCATGTCTAATATCACTCCATAAATTGTGTAGTGATGGCATGTGGTTTTCTCATTTGCGGATACCTATGGAGAGATCTTTCTATCTCTTAAGCTCCTGGAGGAAAGATAGGATAAAATTATGAATTTATTGATTCATGAACAAGTGGCTGTATTGGTGCATCATGGTAAACTATAATCCATAGTTTAGCAATCATATCATCTGGGTTTGATATTGTGCCAAATCAAACTAAAAACTGTACAGTATGGTAAAAGCAAAGGCTTAGCATTAGGTGTCAGTGCCAATCTTGGACAGATTAAAGATTAAGCTGGCTAGTGGTGATTTTATGTTCAGTACATCTTCCCTGATTATGGACTTTTGTTTTTTAGGATGTCCATTTTCTCAAATTTTTACTGGTGATGGGGAAAAGGGAAGGTTAACTTATTTGACTTACATCTTCCTTAGCTCTAGTTCCAGAACCAAACTCTCATGTGTCTTCGTGTGAAAATCCATACTTAACAGTTAAATGCACATGGTTCTAGGAATATTTAAAAGAATAAATAATTGCATATTCCCTTTCCAAATTTGAGGAAAGGAAAATCTTTCTGAAAAGACATTTTTTTCAGCTAAGCAGGATATTGGATATTTACCATAATTTATAATTATGATGGTGTCTCATAATTTTTCTTTCAGTCTTTAGCATGGGCAACAATGCTTATGGCCAGTGTGGCCGAAAAGTGATTGAAGGTGAAATATACAGGTGAGAGAACCTGTTTGGTTCCATATAATGGTTGTTGCTGGAAATGTATCTCTAAGCAGGCCTAGGAGGCGTGTGATTGACTTTGTTTTAACGGGAATTCTGATTCAAGTTCTATTGGTACTTTGCATTCTAGAATGTTGACATCTGAAGTTATGTAAAAAAGCATAATATGCTGTCATTGGCTCTCCCTCCTAGTTATTGCTTCATAACATCTCCCACCAGGCATCACCAATGATGAGGGATGCAGAGAAATGTTGCCTAGCAACACCTAAGGATCAGATCCCTATTCCTGTTTTAAAGGATCCACAAGTTTTCCCTGAGCTCCTAACATGCCCCTGGAATGGAGGAATAATTGTTCTAATATTACATCTAATGTAGACCATTTTCTTTCTATTGGAACTTTTAAGAGAAAAAAAAAAACAGAAAAATTCTACCTCAAGCATTTCCCCCCTCTATCTGTTGATGGGAGTGCTCTGTGATTTCAATTTAATATTCAGCTGAGATTCTTTTAATCTCAGAACAATTCCATGCTATAGTTTCAAATACTAAAAAGCCCTTATGCAGTGTCAGGAATGTGCTGTGGAAAATACAGGAAGCTAAATATAGTGAGTGCTTTGAAATTTTGTCGGTAAAATTTCAAAAATTGCCACAACTGTATTTTTGAAAGTTTCACCTGTTCACTTCCTTGATGGCTTGTTTCACTTTCTTATGGCTTTTTTTCCCTTGGCAAAATGCAGTGAGAGCCAGATCATTAACAAACTGCAAGGATTTGAAGACAGAGTGGTCCAAGTAAGTCGTGCCCAAAAACCTGTATCCTCTTTTTGAAGGAAAAATGTTGTGTTGCACTGCATCAGCTTTTGCGTGTGTCTTTGAAGAGGAAACTGTAACAGGTTGAATCAGACCAGAGATCAGTCTAGTTTAGCACCCAGACCCTAGTCAAATTTCATGTGGTCTTTGGCCTAATTTCAAACCCCTAAAGCAGTGGTGTCAAACTCAAGGCCCAGGGATCAGATCCAGCCCGCGGGGTATTGAGATCTGGCCCACGGGGCCACTCTGGAAACAAGGTCCAGCCCATGGTGCTTCTACCAGAGAAAACAGGCTCCCGAGCTCCGTTTCCGGCTGCCACGGCCTCCTGCAACCCTCTGCCAGTGAAAATAGAGCTCGGGATGGCCCATTTTCACTGGCAGGGTTGCAGGAGGCCGTGGTAGCCGAAAACGGAGCTCGGGAGTCTGTTTTCGCTGGCAGAGCACTCGGGCCACTACAGGCACTCCCAACACAAGTGACATTGAGCTGGTCACGCCCCACCTGGCCACACCCATCCCGGGACCCCAAAGTCAAACACAACCCAGATGCGGCCCTCAATGAAATCGAGTTTGATACCCCTGCCCTAAAGCAAAGAGATCATTTCAGAATTTGCATAGAAAAAGATGCCAAAATGAAAAAAAAAAGTTTAAAAAAAATATGGTGTTTTTACTTATTTTTGGTTGGGGTCCCATCTTCTGCTTTTTTCAGCTCTGCCCACAATTACCTTAGAGGGGATGCGATTGACTAATTAAAGTCAGCTTTTAGCTGCAATCTAGAATTTTTCCCAACTGGGCTATGAGAAATAAGCGAGGCATCTTAAAGCTTGGATTTTATCATCTTCCATGGCTTTCTTCAACTCGGCACCCCACAAAGATTTTGGCTGCCCAGCACCCATTGTCTCCTGTCCAGCCTAGGTATGATAGGAAGTTGTAGTCCATAAAATTAGGAAGGATCCAGGTCAGGAGAAGACTGGCCCACATTGACTACATTCAAATAATGTAGGCTTAACCAATTCAGCTAAAAAAGTAGTCACTGCATATTACAACATGCTAAGTTGGGATGGCATTAAACTTGGGTTCATTTATTTTGGGGTGTCTCTATTATGTGAACTCAGGAAATGGTTTAATTCATAACCAGCTAAAATGTGCAAACCCAGCCAGTAAAAATTAGCAACCCCACAACTTTTCTCTTACTTGTTTTAGTCTCAGAAGTCTTGGTTTCATTGATTTATTCCCCACCCCCCACCCCCCATTAGGCCTCTATGCCACTCCAGTCATATATGATTCCAGTTCTTGCAGAAGATCTTTTAAATTTTAATAATTCCACAGTAAGGTTTGCGAACTACAGGTAGTCCTTGACTTACGACTATAATTGAACCCGGAATTACAGAAAATCATGGTGGCCATTAAGCAGGTCATCACGTGACTCTGCCTTAATTTTACAACCTTTTTTGCAGCAGGCTTTAAGCGAACCCTGCAATCATAAAGTGAACGCCAGGTTGTTAAGTGAATAGAAATAGGTACGAAATGCTACTTTCCAGCCAAAAAAAAAAAAAAAAAAAAGTGACCGTATGGTGTTGCAGACAGCCATAAAAGTGGGCTGTTAACTGAGCACCCAAAATGTGGTCACATGACTGCCAGGGGGTGCTGTCTGTCAAAACTTTGAATCCAGGTTTGAATCCAGCTCTGGGGAGGTTTGTCATAATTTCAAACAGTTGCTAAGCAGCTGGTTGTGAATGGAGGACTACCTGTAAATACCAAGTTATAATAGAAACGCCTGGTTACGGAAGGTTGTTTTAATCCTGGTTTCTTCCTCAAACCTACCCTTTCCCCCCCTAAAAGGGGGTGAAAATTATACACTGCGTCTTATACACTGAATGTAGCCCCGCCCACCCACTGGCCCCCACCCTTTGGCCTCTGCCTCCCAGCAGTTACCTCCTTGCAGCAAACAGCAAGAAGAAACAGCTCCTTTCAGCTTCAGCACAGCCTAATTAGCACAAGTTGATTGGATTGGCCTCCCGACTCTCAGCTGTTTTGCTCTCAGCTGTTTTGCACATGCCTCTGCTGCTTGCTCCAAGGAGGTAAAGTGCTGGAGCAGATTTTTTCCCCCCCTTGTGCTAATCAAGCTATGCTGAAAATGAAAGTGAAAGTAAAGCAGGGTGTTTGCTGTTTGCTGCAAGGAGGCAACATTGCTCAGAGGCAGAGGGAAATTTCTTTTTCTTCTTTTCCTCACTAAAAAAGGTAGGTGCATCTTATAGTCCGGTGCGTCTTATACTCCGAAAAATACGGTATTTAACTTTGATTTGAAATAGAGTTGTTTGAGCAGCAAGCATAGCATTTAAATTCAATAAATGTTTATTTTTTATTTTGCCTAAAGGTTGCCTGTGGGCAGGATCATAGCCTTTTCCGGACTGAGAAAGGAGATGTCTATTCTTGTGGTTGGGGAGCTGATGGCCAGACAGGTAAAGTGTCTGAGATGGATCATGCCAGCAATTTAATTATTTAATTTAATTTTGATTTAATAATTTAATTGAATTTAAGCAACCAGGAAAAAAAAAGAAAAAGGAACAAGAAAGAAACACAAAAAAGAGGTTTACAAGCCGCATAAAATTGAATAAGAATTTTCAAATTAGGTTAATGCTACATATAAGGGTGATTTTTTAATCAATTTTGCACTTGTTAAAATCAACTACATCATAGCAAAGGCAGCCAATATATGGCCCGAACTGTCAATCAGAATAAACAGTAGCAATTGACCCAATCTAATATACTATGTCCTTATAATGCATCAAACAAAATCTAATGTTGCATATTTATGTTGAGAGAAACCTGAATTTTGTATACGGTGTAATTCCATGTGCAGAATGTCTATTCTATAAATGGTTTCCAGAACAATTAACTTCACTATCAAACACAAAGGTTTTTTTTTACAACAGTACCAACTCTTGAGGTTTACTCTGTTATCCCTCTTAAAAAGGAATTGTGTGTAATTTCAAGTTAGAAGCAAAGTATTCTAGCAGCTGTCAAAGTGTAGTGCTAAAAGTGTTGTATACTTTGTAGGAATCTAAGGCTATTCATGTTCAGTGGAAAAAGAGCTGGCAAGAAAATAAATGGGAAAGTTGGATATTTATCATTGTTTCATTCTGGGGTAAATCGTTTTCCAGAATTGTTGTGGTTTATGACATTGCCACCAAGCATGCAAAGAATGATTCAGCCTGATAGCTGCATCGCTAGCAGTGTTTTTGAATCTGTTCAAAACCATAGAAATGGAGACTGGGGCATTGTTGGTTTTGCTTCCGAAGTAGAAGTGATTTTAAGTATTTTGTACCAATTGAGCAAGTTACTTTGGAAGACTGAAGGGTGCTGCATAAAGTGAAGGAAAGGCAATAGAAATGGTTCCATCAGTTCTGACTTGCAGAATAAATACATTAATTAAAGAAGAAGGGGGAGTGTCCCTGACTGGCTCAGTGGTTAAAGATCCTGAGCTTGCCAGTTGCAAAGCTGACAATCTGGGGTTCAAGTCCAAGCGCGGTGTTATGGGGTGAGTTCTCATCTTTGCCTCAGCTTCTGCCCACCTAGCAGTTCAAAAACATGCATATGCAAGTAGAAAAATAGGTACCGCTTCGCTGGGAAGGTAACAGCATTCTGTGCACCTTGGCATATAGTCATGCTGGCCACATGACCATGGGAACGTCTTTGGACAATGCTGGCTCCCTCAGCTAAGAAATGGAGATGAATGTTGCCCCCTAGAGTTGGATATGACTAGACAGGGGAAATCTTTACCTTTACTTTAAGGAACAATATTTTTAGAGTCATGGATGAAATAGACCAGGGGTAGTCAAAGTGTGGCTCATAGAAGAGCTTCTGGCTCTCCTTTGTCTTCCTTCTGATGATTAAGATCAAAACCATTTTGAACTAGATTGGATTCTATAGGAGGCTGACCACAGTCTGGTGATTTTCATAACTTTATTAATTTTGCCCTAAACATTATTTATCAGTTAAAGCCAAGGTTATGGTTATAAATATTACAATAACTGTGCTTTAAGTTGTAGCATGAGTTTGTGTGCATGCATACAAAGATGCACACATAGTTTATGCGGTGATCTGCAAACAGTCCTTAATCATCTTTAGTGGTCTTTAGAAATTAAAGCAACATAATTTAGAAGCATTGCTTCATTAATTCCAGGAATACAGTACATATATAACATTAACTTGAATAGAGCCATTATAATGAAAAGTCTAAAGCCCTGAATAATTGATGCATCATGTATGCATTTGCCTCCTATCTATTTGTTCATGTTCTGTAGAAGTGAACAAATCTTCTTGCTCCTTCGTCTTTTTTTTCAGGAGTGTCCTCAGGTTGTGGTACAAAAAATACAGTACCTGCAAAGTTCACTTCAAAGCTCTGCCTATTTTTGGTTTGTGTTGCTGCCATCTTGACTATGGAGCACACCCTGCGGATTATCCCATTCAATAGAAATGAAAATCATCATCTTCTTTCTTATATATATATAAAAGGCTGTATGTATGTATGTATGTTTCAGCATAACTCTGGAACACCTCAAACAATTTCAACCAATCTTGGTACACAGATGACTTACCCTCTGGAAACAAATACTGTGGGGGTATGACACCCCTAGCACCCCTAGGTGTGTGTGTATGTGTATGTATGTTCACGCATAACTCTGGAACGCCTTGAGCAATTTCAGGATTAGGTAAAGAAATACCTGGGCAATGCTGGGTTATCAGCTAATCAGCCTATAAAATGCCCCTTGTACCAGCTCCTGGGGTGTGGAATCAGTTGTAGTGGACGAGAACCAAGAAAAAGGTCCCATTAGATTAGCCCAGATTGCTCAATTTTGGAGAGAGCCAGTTTGTCTAGTGGTTAAAGTGGTGTCCCAGAAACCAGGAGATTTGTGAGTTCTAGTCCTGCCTTGGGCACGCAAAACCACCGGGCGACTTTGAACCAGTTATACTCTCTCAGCCAAGCTCACTTCATAGCCTATGTTGTTGTGGGATAATAGGAGAAGGAAGGAGTATTGATACGTTCACTACCTTGAGTTATATATGAATAAAGGGATACATTGTAAGAAAAAAATACCCTACTTTACAGGATTGTTGTGAGGATAAAACTGGCAGGCGGAGTTCTTTATGCTTAAAGAGCAGTACGGATAATCCTTGATTTACAACCACAATTGAGGCCAAAATTTCTGCTGCTCAGCAATACAATTGTTAAATGAGTTTTGCCCCATTTTACAACCTTTCTTGCCACAGTTGTTAAGTGAATCACTGAACTTGTTAAGTTAGTGCCGTGGTTGTTAAGTGAATCTGGCTTCCCCATTGACTTTGCTTGTCAGAAGTTCACAAAAGGGGATCACATGGCCCTGGGACACTGCAACCGTCATAAATATGAGCCAGTTGCCAAGCATCCGAATTTTGATCACGTGACCATGGGGATGTTGCAACAGTCCTAAGTGTGAAACTCGGTCATAAGTCACTTTTTTTCAGTGCTATTGTAACTTCGAATGGTCATTAAATGAACTGTTGTATGTTGAGGACTACCTGTAGTGCTTAACTTACTACACTTCAGTGAAAATATAAGGGAGCTCCAGATCTGAGAAGGTGAACAGTGGCTGGGTCTAACAACAAAACTGGAATTTCTTAATTTTTTCCCCCCCTCTGCAGACAATCTATTGACAGTCTAAATCTGCGTTTCTCAACCTTAGCAAATTTAAGACATATGGATTTCAACTCCCAGAATTCCCCAGCCAGCTATGCTGGCTAGGGAATTCTGGGAGTTGAAGTCCACTTAAAGTGGCTAAGGTTGAGAAATATTGGTCTACAGCATAATAGAAAAATAAGCCTAACCTAATACAATATAATCCAAAAGATGTGAAGCAGAGCTATCACTAAACAAATAGTAAGTTGAGGGATACCTGCGTGTAATTATTAACTGTTAATTATTAAGTGGTTGATTTGCCACGAGTATGCATATAATGCCCTGACTTTCCTTCTCTTTCTCTCCCAACTAGGCCTTGGCCACTACGATATAGTGAGTGCTCCCACAAAACTGGGCGGGGACATTGCAGGCGTCCGCATTACACAGGTCACAACCTATGGGGATTCGTGCCTGGCTGTGTCCGAGAGCGGCGAGCTGTTTGGCTGGGGAAACTCGGAATATCTTCAGCTGACTTCTGTTACTGAGACGACCCAGGTTAAGAACGGTTGCCACTTACACAACTCGGCAAGCCTTTTGTGCCACAGGAAAAGAAGGAGGTTGGATTGGCTGGGGGGTGGGGGAGTATGCACTCATCCTCTGGGTAGCATGCTGAGGTCTCCTTTTGCAGAATTCTAGACGTGGCTAAGATTGACAGGCGAGAGCAGGGAGAAAAAAAATAAATTTCTTTGAAATGTCAGGGTAGTTAGAACTACATTAATTAAAATAATGAATATGTTAATCTTTTTTCAGTTCACCCAAGGTTTTCGCAGGTTGGGGGCTCGAGTTCTGAACTTCTGCATTAGGCAGAATGAGGAGGCCTATCCTAATGCTCCATAAAGTAGAGATCCGTAGTAGGCACAGCATAACTTTCCAGGTGTTGTGGCCCGTCAGCAGCCTGTGCAGCTGGTGCTCGAGTCGGACAGTGAGGAGGCTGGAGAAGATGTGGTGCCAGAGGCAGGGATTCAGCCAGGGCCTTCAGAACCTCCAGAAGCTCCTTTAAGTGAAGAGGACGAAGAGAAGGAGCCTCTTCTCAATGCACGGGTGCGCAGAACTGCCAAAAGGCAGGAGTGGCTCCTCAGAAGGAGGTCTCCTCGAGAGTAAGGCTTGGGGCTAATTGGCCACTCCCTTAGCCTATTTAAGGAGGAACGCCGCTTGCAGCAAGCTGTAAGGAACAACTTTAGTTCACTCTCCTTCGCGTCTGGATTCTCTGCAAAATTGCTCCTGGGCTTTCTGCCAACTCTAGTAAGACTGTGATTACCTTATCTTAGAATTCTGGTAGGCTGTTAAGACAGTTTATTAACAGCCTTTGGTTGATAAAGACTAAGTTATTTGAGTAAAATAAGCTTTGTATAGAGTTTGCGTGTGCTGCGTTCTTTGGGGTCCGTAGCTGGGGCAGAACACCAGGCATCTGCTAAAGGTCAGTGGTCCCATCAGGTTGGTGGCATAGTCAAAAGATGTCTAATTCTGGGAATGCCTATAGTGTTATCTTCATATTGGACACATATCGCTCTGTCCCGGGCTCAAACGAAGAGCTGGTGGCTGTATATACAGATAGTCCTCGACTTCCAATCAATCATTCAGCAACTGTTTGAAGTTACAACAGCACTGAAAAATGATTTACAACCAATCCTTGCCTAACCATTGCCGCATCCCTGCAGTCACATGATCAAAATTGGGACACTTGGAACTGGCATGTATTTATGGGAGTTGCAGCATCTCAAGGTCATCTGATCACCATTTGTGACCTTCCCAGCCAGCATTTGACAAGAAAGTCAATAGGGGAAGCCTGATTCGCTTAACGACCGCATGATTCACGTAACAACTCCTTGGTGGCGCAGCAGATTAAAGTGGTGTTAAGTGACACCAGCTGCCTGCAATTACTGCAAGTTTGAATCTCACCAGGCTCAAGGTTGACTCAGCCTTCCATCCTTTCGAGGTAGGTAAAATGAGGACCCGCATTGTGGGGGCAATAAGCTGACTTTGTATAAAAAAGAACACCGCTTAGGGGGGCCTGAAAGCCCTACTAAGCAGGTATATACAAAAGTATGAAGGCTATTGCTTAACACATTGTAAGCTGCCCTGAATCTCCGGAGAAGGGCGGCATATAAATTGAATGAACAAACAAACAAACAAATAAATAAATAATATAAATAATAAATAAATAAATTCCAGTGATTCGCTTAACGACTGTGACAAAAAAAGGTCGTGAAACTAGACACAACTCATTTAACAACTGTCTTGCTTAGCGACATACTATTGGGCTCCATTTTGTGGTTGCAAGTTGAGGACTACCTATACCCGGGCTGCATTTTTTGCAGAGCTCAGGATGACACTGTTCAACCTCACTGTGTATGCATGTGTATAAATGAGATTTCATAGCTGTCAAAACTTGTCAAGTCTTGGGTTTATCTTTGTAAAAGAGACTGTAATGCTCTTCTTTCAGTTCAGTTCAATACCGTTTATTGATGGCCATTGACCAGTACATAAAGCTCTTTTTTCTGAATGTCTTAAAATAACAGCCATGTCACATTCCATATTTCTGCTCGTTGCAGGTCAACGTCCCCAGACATTTGCACTTCGATGTTGGGAAAGTGAAGGAAGCTTCCTGTGGTGGAACTGGCAATGCCATCTTAACTGGTGAGCCTCTTGGTCATTCCCCCCCCCCCCCCAAAAAAAACCCAAAATAAGATAGAAGTCAGCAATATTGTAAGTTGCAATCCTTTAATATGGGTTGTGCTGGCCGAGGCTGATGGGATCGAAAGAGCCTTGATGGTACAGTGGTCTACGCACCCTGTTATTAACACAGCTGCCTGCAATTTACTGCTGGTTCGAATCTCTCCAAGGCTCAAGGTTGACTCAGCCTTCCATCCTTTCTAAGGTAGGTGAAATGAGGACCCAGTTTGTGGGGGCAATAAGCTGACTTTGTATAAATATACAAAAGTATGAAGGCTATTGCTTAACGCATTGTAAGCCGCCCTTAGTCTCCGGAGAAGGGCGGCATATAAATCAAATTTAAAAAAAAAAAAAAAAGAAAGAAAGACTAATTTTCAGAAGATGGATTTACTGCTTGTGAGTCAAAGCACCTTTGCAAAGTATCCTGCATGCTGGTTATTGTATGTTAGCTGATTCCTTTCTGGTTTGTGTGCTGCTTTGGGGAGCGTGGTCCTAAAATGGCTTAGAACAATCTAATTCAGTGTATCTCAACCTCAGGAATTTTTAGATACTGTATTTTTCGGAGTATAAAACGTTCCGGACTATAAGACGCACCTACCTTTTTTGGTGAGGAAAACAAGAAAAAGCAATCTGCCTCCCAGCAGTTTTGCCTCATCGCAGCAAACAGCAAACAGCCTGCTTTACTTTTATTTTAGTTTTCAGCATAGCTTGATTAGCACAAGGAAAAAAAATCTGCTCCCATCAATTTACCTCCTTGCAGCAAGTAGCAGAGGCCCGAGCAGCAATAGGCAGTGGCAATCCCTGCAGCCTGAAACAACTGAGTCGGGAGGTCAATCCAAAGGACAATCAACTTGTGCTAATTAGTCTGTGCTGAAGCTGAAATGGGCTGTTTTTTCTTGCTGTTTGCTGCAAGGAGGTAAATTGCTGGGAGGCAGAGGCCATAGGATGGGGGCCAGTGGGGGCTGGGGCTACATTCGGTGTATAAGACACACCCAAATTTTCACCCCCTTTTAGGGGGGAAAAAAGGTGCGTCTTACACTCTGAAAAATACGGTATATGGATTTCAATTTCCAGAATTCCCCAGCCATTGTGAAATTCACACAACTTGAAATTGCTGAGGTTGAGAAATACTGATGTAAGCAATGCATAAATCATACTTGGAATTAAATCAAACCAAACAAAGATGACCAAGATGGTAAATACTAAGTCTTGCTTGTTGGTGCTCATTACTGATTGTGGAAGCTTCCTACAATCGTTTTGCTTTTCTTGATAACAACTTCTAACTGAGAGCTTCGGGGAGCACAGAAAATAGAGAAGTCAAATAGAAGAATAAGGTAAATGAAGGCAGTTTATATCCCATGCAAATTGAGTGTTCCCAAATTGTGAAGTCAGTTGAGCTGTCATGGAGTCCCCGAGAAATATCTAATGGGTAGCCCTAGTGTTTATATGATGTGCTATAATGGCATGTGGCAAAGAGATACTGTCAAGGGAACGGTCAGATGAGAAACGGCATAGGCTGCAAGTGGGTAGCAGGTGGGGCAAGAGACTCAGGAAAGATCCTCCCTAGTTTCTCAAGCTGTAAAGTAGACGCGGGGGGGGGTGGGGGTGGAGATTCTATTTTCAGACTTGCAAAATTCTGTCAGCATAGTAAAATAGTATAGTATTAAGTATTATAAAGATATAGTCATATATATTATATATTAGCTGATAACACAGCATTGCCCAGGTATTTATTTATCCCAGTCCTGCCTTTGAGGTGATTATCTGCATTAGCAGGCACCTCCCCCAACAACTTGCCCTCTTTGCTTGAAGCTGAGGGCCTAGGGTGTTTTTCTTTTTTTTAAAGAACCAATCTCCCTTACCAGAGGGATTCCCCTTGTGGAGTACTGTGAAGCTGTTACCATGGCAGCTCCACTGTGTTGAACAGTAGAAGCCATTTTAAGGCACAACAGGCTGTATCTTAACAGAACTTGAATCCAAAATGCACACTATCACCGTCAAAAGTACTGTGATTTGACACTATAGATATAATTCATTCCTTTTCATTGTTTTTTAAATTTGATTTATATGCCGCCCTTCTCTGGAGACTCAGGGTGGCTTACAATGCGTTAAGCAATAGCCTTCATACTTTTGTATATTTTATACAAAGTCAGCTTATTGCCCCCACAAACTGGTCCTCATTTCACCTACCTTAGAAAGGATGGAAGGCTGAGTCAACCTTGAGCCTTGGAGAGATTCGAACTTACAGTAATTGCAGACAGCTGGTGTTAATCACAATACTATCAGTCTGCTGAGCCACCAGGCGTTCCAGAGTTTTTTTTTTTTTTTTTTTAATTTGATTTATATGCCGCCCTTCTCCGGAGACTCAGGGCGGCTTACAATGCGTTAAGCAATAGCCTTCATTCTTTTGTATATTTTATACAAAGTCAGCTTATTGCCCCCACAAACTGGGTCCTCATTTCACCTACCTTAGAAAAGGATGGAAGGCTGAGTCAACCTTGAGCCTTGGAGAGATTCGAACCAGCAGAAATTGCAGGCAGCTGTGTTAATAACAGGGTGCACTAAACCACTGTACTATCAAGGCTCTTTTGCTGGAACACACATACATTAACCCCCCCCTCCCCCGGGGGTGTTGTATTTTTTTCGAGAGAGTAAGTCATCTGTGTACCAAGTTTGGTTGAATGTATGTATGTATGTATGTATGTATGTATGTATGTATGTATGTGTGTGTGTATATATATATGTATATATATATATATATATATATATAATATATATATAATAGTAAAGATACTACTGATATTAGCTACTCTGATTGCGATTCCTATCTTGTTTATCTAGTGAGACTGACCTGCTGATTTTGTGCCAATGCAAAAGTTCTGCAACACTGAACCATGGCCTGCCCATCTAACTCCATTTCTGTATATACTAGTGTCTTGCTGAAGCCGGCTGTTGTTATCTTGCTTATTTTTGTTTCTAATAATCTAGAGGAAGGCCATGTTTTTGTGTGGGGCTATGGAATTCTTGGGAAAGGACCAAATCTTATGGAAACAGCCATTCCTGAGATGATCCCACCTTCCCTGTTTGGCTTGTCAGACTTCAACCCCGATATTTGCGTGGACCGGATCCGTTGTGGATTAAACCAGTTTGCGGCGATCACTAGTAAGTATCTTGGAGTAAAATTGTAAGTACATCTGTTTAGGAAAAAGAAGCCTCTTTTGTGAGAATTACTTCTATCTATTTATGTAAGGGGTTGTCTTTTAGTTGTCTGCAAGCTTTTAAAATTCTCTCCTGTTTCCAAATCTGGAGTTGATTTTTTCCCCCTGTCTTCTGGAAATTATATTGCTTTGCATAAGTATCCAGTATTGACCCCAAATAATATTTTGCAGTAATCAAAAGTCCTTTTGTAGAGGGCTAAGATTGTTGGGGGCAACATGCCGATTCTGTAAACCACTTAGAGAGGGCTGTAAAACCATAATGAAGTAAGTCAAAAGTGCTATTGCTATTGAATGACATTTGACTTTTTTTTTCTGTTGGTTTGCAGACCATGGAGAACTCTTTATATGGGGCAAAAATGTGCGAGGATGCTTAGGAATTGGCAGGATGGAAGATCAGTACTTCCCCTGGAGGGTAAGAAATGTCCTTGTTATGGTTTGTCACATAGTCAGCCAGATGTTTAGATTGGACTTGACATTTTTATTTACCTATCGAATGCTTCCCAAGGACCTGGGGTAGGCAGATGTTCTTGCTTGGTGGTGTGAAAGGCATCATCACGGGATGTCAGCTGTTCCAAGCAGAGCTGCCTTTTGCAATTGACTGATGATTTTATCAACACCGGTGGGTTTTCTCAATGCTGAAGGTTTTTGTCAACTATTGTTATTTAAATGTATATGCTACCCAGTTCTCAGCACCTCTGGGCAGTTTACAAATGATTTAATATTTGAATAACAGACAATAAAAAACAAGAAACAAAAGAAGAGTGGAGATTGTAGAAAAAACAGACCAGCTAGAAACAAACTAATCTAGGTTAAAAGGAAGCTTCACTCATCCTCACTGAAGACTTGGATGAAGAGTTTAGTCTTCAGGTCCCTTCATAATCCTAACAGGGTTGGGAATGGGGGGGCATTCATTCAGATCTTGGGGGGAAGCCTCATTCCAGAGTCTTTTGAAGAGTATTTGCTTTTAAAAAAGAACTCGCTGCAACCGTAGGGTTGGGCAGCAGCAGCCTAAATAAAATGTCAAATCAGCAGATAATATCTGTATTCCAGCATCCTGAGTTCCAGGAGATAAATTGGGATGCTCCTGCTTTTGATTAATTGTAGCTTCCCTACCAACCCAGCATATACTATTTTTTGCGAATGTGGTTTTTGCTATTTGATTCCGGTCCTTATTAGAAGCTTTATTAGTTTGAAGCAGTGGTAGCTTGCTACCGGTTCTCCCCAGTTCTTGAGAACTGGTAGTAGAAATTTTGAGTAGTTCGGAGAACTGGTAAATACCATCTCTGTCTGGCCCCGCCCCCAATCTATTCGCTGCCTCCCGAGTCCCAGCTGATCTGCTAGAAGGAAAAATCAGGGCTCACTTGACAAAAGAAGAGAGAGAAAAAAAGACACCATAGCTTTAAATTGAGAAGCGAGGAAGCCTCTCAACTGATCTGCTAGAACCGATCTGCTCCTTGTAAACCGCTCGGTGGTGGTAGATTGGCAATTGAGGCCAAGCTGCCTGAAAGCGGTTTCTGATGCTCTCGGTGGTGGCAGAGCGGCAAAAAACTGTTTAAACTCTTGCCGCGGCACTTCAAAGGGCTGCCCTACAGCTGATCAGCGGTAAAAGGACGCAGTGTGGTGGTAGACCAGTGTGTTCCAAAAACAAATAGGTAGACCGGAACGCTCCAAAAACAAATGGGTAGACCGGTAGGGCTCTGGAAGCAGTTAAAAGCCTGGTAGACCAGTACCTCTGCTAAATCCTAAAGAATTGTCACATGACCATCAGACCATGCCCACAAAATAAGCCACGCCCACAGAACCGGTAGTAAAAAATTTTAGAACCCACCCCTGGTTTGAAGCAACTACAAAGCTCTACAAAGGTGGAAAAGTTGCTTTCCTCAAGGTTTATCTTGATTTCTGAGCTCAAGTGTTCAACATAGCAAACCTTCCCAATGCTACATCGTAGTCATATTGGTGGAGAGAGTATGTGAGAATCCAAAATGCTCCAACTGGTTTAAGGGCCTCAGTATGTATTTAGTAGCGATATGTACATTTCAAAAATATTTCAGAAGTGGTTTGGACCTCATGGAAACCGAATCTCTTGGCTCCTTCTAAAGCAGCCCAATCTTTTGCAGCCTTATTCATCAGGCTGCAAAATTCATTAAAATTCATTAAAAAAAAATAAAATGTTTTTGCTGCCTGTTTATGGAATCCACTTCTTAAAATTAAGACGGGTGCTGACTGGTGCAAATTTCAAAGCACTTTTCTTAGTTGTTTCCGAAGCATGCACAGCCCTGATAGTATACAAAAGGAGCATCAAACTAAAGGCCCGTGGGCCAAATCCTGGAAGGTCCGACCCGTAAAGAACCGGCCTGCGGTGCCTCTGCCCACGGCCCTCCCTAGCTCCGTTTTCACTGGCAGAGAGTTGCAGGAGGCCATTGCAGCTGAAAACGGAGCTTGGGAGCCCGTTTTCACTAGCAGTGCTTGGGCCACCACAAGCGCTCCTGACACGGGTGATGTCAAGCTGCCCACGACCCCCCGAGGTCAAACACAACTCTGATGTGGCCCTCAATGAAATCGAGTTTGACATCCCTGGCATACATCACTAATAGTGACTACAATAGATGCCAAGGTGCAAGATAATGAAACTTTTTAAAAAATAGCTATAAAATTGTGGCATGCTTAGGCCAAAGGCTCCTTTGGTCCTGCCTTCTACTTTTCACATTCAGCAACTGGAAACCTTTGCAAAGTGCAAGAACAGGCATGTGAGTAACAATACAACCCTCCTTAAATTCTCCAGCACTTAAAAGGCTACATAAGGAATTTGTCCGTGCAGGAGGGACACCTGGTCTTGTTTGGCAGCTGGTAAGCAGAACCACCTGGCAGCTTTTATCCAGGGATGTAGGAATCCTGTGCATTGAGGCTCCCCAAACTCAACTATTTTGGCAATCAAAATCTGCCCTTGCAAAATCATATGGCATCCAGTATGAAAGGATAAAGTGAGGACCTGGTGGCTTAGCAGACTGATAGCATTGTGATTAACACCAGCTGTCTGCAATTACTGTAAATTCGAATCTCACCAGGCTCAAGGTTGACTCAGCCTTCCATCCTTTCTAAGGTAGGTAAATTGAGGACCCAGATTGTGGGGGCAATAAGCTGACTTTGTATAAATATACAAAAGTATGAAGGCTATCGCTTAACGCATTGTAAGCCGCCCTGAGTCTCCGGAGAAGGGCGGCATATAAATCAAATTTTAAAAAAAGGGGGTGCTGGACCTGGGTTTTGGGTGGTGGGTGGAGCGGAGTGACTGATCTAGATGAACTCCATGAACCTTCTACTGGATCACCTTGAATAGAAGTGGGTGGTTTATATTAGGGGCCATGAGACTACTTGAACATAATGTATTTTGCTAGGCACATTTGCAGATTTCCAGCTTGGGATTTGCTGTAAGGCAGGGAAAAAAAAAAGATGTCAGCAAGTGGATTTTCCATTTCCTTTCTTCTTCAGGTGACGGTGCCAGGTGAGGTGGTGGACGTAGCCTGTGGCGTGGATCACATGGTCATCCTGGTTAAATCTTTTATTTAGTAGCGTACCTGTGCACAAGTGCCTGTCCAGATGAGCGGGAAGCCAAATTGTGCAAGCCTTTGCTGGAGCCCTGTGGTTGGCCTGATGGTGGAGAACTCACTGAAGCTTGAAAACACTTTGTAAAACGACTGGGAGAGATTGAGCATGCAGTAACTGTAGCCCAAGGAGCAGCTGAAGGAAATGCAGAGAGGATCATGTGTAGACTTTGCAGTTGGGCATTTATTGCTAATGCCAGCCATCCTGAATTTTTTTTTTAAAAAAAGCACTCGTTTTCCATGTTGTTACTGTTGAGGTCCAGAAATGGCACAAAGAAAATCTTTATTTAATAGTAAAGGAAAATGTGCTACATTGCAGGGCATTTCTAACAACTGTAAATAGTACTTGCAGATCCTCAAGTTAAGTTAAAAGTCTATTTTTTTAAACGAACAGTCTTACAAGATCACCAAGAATCTCATGTTTTCAGCGAAATCATGTGAAATCTTGGGAGTCAGTTTTGGTGGATCCATTAAGTTTTATGCCATTGGTTAATAAAATTATGTATCTCATGCCAAAAAGATTGCTGATTCAAGAGTCTTTTATGTAAGGGTAAATACTGGGAGATGAACCTTGCTTCCAAATAGCCCTTTCATTATTGTTCCTTCCTGAAGGCCATTCCTCTCTCTTTCTAAGACGATTTTCATGGAATTTTTTCCTGGCCTGTCCCCACTGATGTCATTTCCATCACAGGCGGTTGTGTCCTTACTCTATCTCAGATACCAGCGCTTTCAAAATTTCCCGGCAAGAGAAACATAATTTTTATCCCCTGGCCGAGACAGTTCCATGTTGGTATTAACTAATGATGTTGGAGAACTTTGCATTACTTTTATGTCGGCGGCCCAGTGTTTTCATCAGCATCCCCATTACTTTGACATGGCGAACTCAAGATCTGAACCAGAACAAATAACGAGCAGTCTTTAATTGTGGCTTATTGAAACAAGCCACTTTCAAGCTAAGGAATATGAAGGGACATTTGTTTTCTCAATTATGTTTCCCAAACAAGGCTGAACTGCAATTAATTGAAATGGAAGCTAGAAATGGCCTTCCTTACAGTTGACTCATAAAGCTAGTTAGGAAGCAGGAAGAGCTTCCATTGAAACTATTGTCCCCATCTGCCACCAGAGCGGACAATAGCAATAGCACCTAGACTTATATACCGCTTCACAGTGCTTTACAGCCCTCTGTAAGCGGTTTACAGAGTCAGCATATTGCCCCCAACAATTTGGGTCCTCATTTTACTCACCTTGGAAGGATGGAAGGCTGAGTCAACCTTGAGTCTGGTGAGATTTGAACTGCCAAATTGCAGGCAGCCAGCAGGCAGCAGACGTAGCCTGCAGTATTGCATTCTAATCACTCTGCCACTGTGACTCATAATAATAGTGCTTTATAGGGTTGGAAATTCTCAGACCAGAAAAAACATCGAATCACATTGAATCCTGGAATTTAGTAGTCCTGTCATGACATGTGAGCGTTGCACCAGAATTCTGTGTTGCAGAATAAATTTAATTGCCGTTCCATTCCAATTTCTGGCTGCTAAGTTCACCACCGAATAAGCGTGTTTAGATTTCATTGAATAGTATAGAGTTAGTCCTTCACTTACAACTACAACTGAGCCCAAAATTTCTTGTCGCTAAGCAAGATAATGGTTAAGTGAGTTTTCCCCCATTTTATGACTTTTGTTGCCATATTTGTTAAATGAATCACTGCAATTGTTAAGTTAGTAACACGATTGGTTAAGTGAATCTGGCTTCCTCATTGACTTTGCTTGTCCGAAGATTACAAAAGATGATCACAAGGAACCATGGTCAACCATGAGCCGCATTGGGATTGAACTCCTGGCTCTGGGCAGAGTCAGCCTGCAGTATTGCATTCTAACCACTGCGTCACCATGCCTCTTCAAGGAAAAGCATGAAATGGCAGTTGACACACATTCTGGTGAGACAGAAGTTCCCTGAGGATGGGCTCCAGCATGAGTCTGAAAGCATGGAAGACTAAACCTCTGGTCCTGGTGACCGACCCAGATTGGATCCTGCAACATGATCCTGGGACACATATATTTGCCTTCATTCATGAGTAGATTATTATTTGCCATCTAGTAGAAAGTAGAATGGACATAAAGAAGGGAGAAAAAGATTCAGAATGACACCAAAACTTAAATTTTGCACCAAAGATGTATTGGGAGGCCGCAGAAGGCTCTCTTAGAGGTATACAATTGCAGCAACACAGAAGAGATTTTTCTAAGTATAAGTATTCAGAAATTATATTTTACATTTCCAAAACACCACAGCTTGGGCTCAGCCCTTTTAGTAATCTTCAATAGTTCAAGAAGGAATTACATTAAAAAAAAAAATTAAAGTACCTTTTTTCCTCCTTGCAACTGAACTGGATGTAAGATAATCCAAGTGCTTTTTGAGGGGGCTGGGTATTTCAAAGAGTCGTAATGCCCAACTTGTTTAGAGGGCTCCAGGTTGGTGAATGTTACCCCTTGGGCAACCTGAGCCAATAACTCGCCCATTATTATTACTTTTTTTTTTTTACACCAGATGTTGCACCCTTGCCCAAGCTGGTGAAAAATCAGCTAGATCATGCTGGTTGAGAATTAATGATGCCGTGGTCCAGCACATCTGGAGAGCACCATTAGTGGATTAAGTAGAAACATACAGGTGTAAAATTCGCTGTTTTAAAGCAGCCTTCACCCAGACGAAGGAAAATGCTGCAGGCAGGAAGAAATTCTATGTTAGGCTAGGGCTATCTGGACAAGCAGTTCAGTCTCGTCTTCTCTGGCTGTAGTGGCTTTTCAAGATTTCGAATAGGGAAGGGTCATTTCGCTCCTGGTACTTTTTCAGCGTGCAAACTATTCCTGCTCATCGATGTGCCATCCAGCTCTGATCACCCAGTGACATCTTGCAGTTAAAGGTCTCTCCATGGTCATTGTGGAGAAACAAGAATACAAGAGGAAATACCCTATGCCAGTGATGGCTAAGCTTTTCCTGACCGAATGCCCAAAGCATGTGCACCCAAACCCCCAAAATGCAAGCGTGCAGCCCATGCGGATGCGCTGCCCCTCACACACACAGCCACTGCATGCGCCCCACCCCCATGCATGTGCACACGGGCCCCACGCAGCCCCCCTGCACACGCCTTGCCCCTGCGAATGTGTGGCAGCTGGCCAGCGGGAGGCGCGTGCACATGCGCAGCAGAGCTGAACTGGGGCAACAGCTCACGTGCCATCAGAGAGGGGGCTGCGAGCCACCTCTGGCACGGGTGCCATAGGTTCGCCATCACGGACCTATGCCTTTTTTTTGGAATCCAGAAGACTTCCTTTCCTTTCTATAATCTGGAGGAAAGCAGAGAGAGGAACAGAAGTCCTAAAATAGATTTCCCCCCCCCACACACACACATTCAAGGGAGACCAGGATATGCAAAATTAGGCAATCTTTTCGACCCTTTGGGAATGCGAAAGCTGCATGTGGGAGCTGCAATTACAAAATGGCCACTGGGGTATATATGTGTGTCTGTGTTCATCCACAAAATGGCAGCTGCAAATACCACAGGTATACCTATCACAATCCATTCATCAGAGAGAACGCATAAATGAGTCAGTTGGTGTGAGCTTTCCTGCTTGTCAGCTGCCTTTTGACTTAAGATTTTTTTTTGTTTTAAAGAAAATCAGAGGTGGAAGGAGGCCTGCTGTGACAGCAAGGAGAACAGTCTAGCTACGTGCGTAACCATGTTTTCAGAATTAATCCAATTGTCTGTGTTAGCACAATAGTCAGAATCGCAAATTAACCAGCCAGAATGTATTTCACATTCATTCCAGTCTCAGCTTGTGCAAACGTTTGTCAATAGTCATCTTAACACATACTATTTCAGCCAAAATTTTGGGATAAGAGGCCATTTACGAATCATTTACTTAACACATCTGATATTTCCATCCATACCAATTTGTGAAGACTGCTATTACTGAAGAGCTGTTTGTGATATTAATCACAGCAAGGTTATTCTTAAACATTGTGGGGTTCCACGGGAGGTCTTAACATGTGATCCAGTGTCCCCCCAGTATGTGTTGATTTGATTGCAAATCCAGGGCTTTCTATTCCTCTTATTTTCCTCTCAATGCATCTTTTATTTTTCTACTTCCTTCCCAATAAAAACTGGAGCATTCAATTTTATTTTTCAGCTGCAATGTTAATAGCACAACCAGAAATATTCCTGGATTTCATACCAAATGTAGGACTATAGTCTAAAATGGTTGGTTTACTCAAGAGGAAGCAACACAATTCAACATTTTCTTCTCCTTAAGTATGCTAGTCCACTATCCATCCATACAATCTAGTTTCTGGTTGCTAACCAGCATGCTGGCACTTGCGAGCCAGGCTGGGTCATCTCGGAAGCAGCAGCTGGCAGAGCACAGCTGCCAGGATCACGAGCCACTCTTTTCCCTTGGTGGCAAGTCAGAGCCAAAACAATATATTTGGCTTAGTTTAATTTAAATGAACTTAAATCTGTTCCATTCACATGATTACTCCCTACATATTAAACAAGTTTCCCTATCAGTCACATGAACAATCTTAAATTTAGTAATTGGCAATGTTTGGAAGTGGTGTGTGTGTTGCATCCAAGGGTTGAGGGAGGGGGGGACAATCTTTGAGTTCCTAGGCTAACATGGATTTATCAGAGAGGGAATTCTTAGTGTTATAATCTAAACATGGGCTCTGGCTTCTTGCTTTTCTAATCAGACCAGCTTTGTCAAATCAACTCCAGATCAGGATTTGTGGAGACAAACCAAGAGGTAGGAGGATGAGCATGAAGCTTAATCAGGACTCAGCAACCTTTCGATGAGATGGATCTAATCACTCGTGATAGCACACAGACACATACACACACACACACACACACACATATACACAAAGAGGTGGGTTTTGGCATTGTCACCTGAACTCTCAAGGAGATCTTACGAAATCCTGCTAGATTTGGCCATTGCAATTGCAACGTTTCGAAGGCTGTTTTGAGTTTTGTGGGCACCCACAAGGCGTGGCCCAGGCTGGAGGGTATCCATGAGAGCTTGTTGCCGATTCCTGAAAAGCCACGTCGGTTTGAGAAGTTAGGAAACTTGAAGTCCAACACATTCACAAGCCCGGATTGGGAAAAAAAATGCTACTTCCTGTTCCAGTCATTTCTGGGTACGCTGATCCAATCTGGCTAAGCAAGAGGATCTCCAAACAACATGAAGCAGGCTGCTTCTTTTCTGATCAAATGGCACCATCAGCAATTCCAGGTTCGCATGTTCAGTGAGAATGCAACTGTGGCATATGCCAACTACACCAACCAAAGGAAAAACAAAAAACAAAAACAAACAGCATAATAGTGACATTTCGCTTCAGAGCTGAATGTCAAAAAAACCCTTCACAGTGCTTTAATCCCAAAGATTCTTTCCTCGTCTCCTCCCTGCCTTGAAGATATATATTTTTTATTACTATTTTTGTAAAAAGCTACTGGGAGTCAATTTGCCTATGCAATAGTCTTTTTGTTTCATCGCTTCTTCGTGGCATGACAATATTTCTCCCGTGCTCTCTTTGGAGTAAAAAAGAAAAAAAAAGAAAAAGAATCACCCACCCCATTGCTAGGAAATACTGAGAAGAATTCTTTGTCTTAAAATACACCTAGGTCCCATTCTGAAAAAAAAATATTAATATTTTTCAGGTTGACTGACTTGGAGTGCATTGATAACACCGTTGATATTTTCTTCTGGAACCTGTGAGGGGAAAAAAGAACCAAAAACAAAGGTTGGAGGTTGGATAGCAGTAATATTTAGGCTTATATACTGCCCCATTGTGCTTTTCAGCATTCTCTGGGTGGTTTACAATGTAAGCATTATTTGCCTGCTGCCCCCAACAATCTGGGTCCTCATTTTATTAACCTTGGAAGGATGGAAGGCTGAGCTGGTCAGGATCGCCCCGAGTCTTCAGAGAGGGGCGGCATATAAATTGAATTAATTAAATTAAATTAAATTAAATCGAACTCCAGGCAATGGGCAGAATTTGCCTGCAATATTGCACTTTTAACCACTGGGCCACCAGGGATTGTTTCTCCTGATCAAATTCAACCTACCAGTGTGTTCAAGCTCTGCTGTTCTAGGTCCCCACCAGCAGTGGGAGCTCTAAGGTGGCTCCTATGCAAAAAGTGCAACATATTTTGCATTTGGGAGGTACCTTCTTGCCTGCATTTTGCAGAGCAGAGATAAGCCACCCCATTCTGATGGGACAGAGTTGGTGTGGATGATAGTCCTGGTCCACATCTTTTGGATTATATTGTATTAAGTTAGGTTCATTTTTCTATTATGCTATAATAGAACCTTAGCCACTTTAAGATGAGTGGACTTCAACTCCCAGAATTCCCCAGCCAGCATAGAATTCTGGGAGTTGAAGTCCATTCATCTTAAATTGACTAAGGTTGGGAAACACTGATTTAGACCATCAATAGATTGTCTGCAGAGGAAAAAGAAAATGAAGAAACCCCAGCTTTTTTTGTTAGTCCCACCCTCTGCTCACCTCTGATCTGAAGCTCCCTTATATTTTCATTGGAGTGTGGGAAGTTAAGCACTACAGGTAGTCCTCAACTTACAACAGTTCATTTAGTGACCAGACTTACAATAGCACTGAAAAAAGTGACTTATGACCATTTTTCACACTTACAACCATAGCTGCATTCCCATGGTCATGTGATCAAAATTCAAATGCTTGGCAACTGACTCATATTGATGACATTTGCAATCATCATATGACCATTTTGCAACCGTCTGACAAACAAAATCAATGGGTAAGCCAGATTCACTTAACAACTGTGTTACCGACTTAACTGCGGTAATTCATTTAACAACTGTGCCAGGAAAAGTCACAAAATGGGGCAAAATTCACTTTAACAGCTGTCTTGCTTGACAACAGAAATTCTGGGCTCTGTTGTGGTCATAAGTCAAGGACTACCTGTATTATGCCATGAACTAATCCCATGGAAATAAAGTAAGCGCAACAGATTCACCCTTCTCCCATTAACATTTCACTGTTTTTCTTCTTCTTCCCTTTGGAAGGTACACGACTTACTTTTTATTAAGCCAAAGGAAAATGATCAAAACCAAAACTGGAATAAAGATTTGGTGTTGCAGTAGCGGAAAAGGAGAAAATTCATGGAGACAAGAGCTACCTAAGCTTTCTCCCTTGATTCAACAAATTCTCTGCCTGGAGCTTATTTATGGGTAGATGAGCATTAGTAAGGTGAGAGCCTCACCTGAAGAGGTAGAGCCAGATGTAGACGTTATCACATGAGTGAGAAATAGGTCAGTGTGTTAGTTTTGAGACAGGAGTGGATGGGCTTATCTCACTGCTATGGTTAATGTTCAAGGAAAGTAAACCCAACTGATCTAATCATTTGACCTTCGCTATCGGAGATCATGTTGACTTTCTGCTCTTAAATACACATGACGGCTTCCAAGCTGGAAAAAGAAGGTGATGCTAATAGCAAAGAGAGGGGGGGGGGAAAAAAGAAGGTGCAGTTTGGACTTTTCTGCTCAAGCTTTTAATGAGTTAAAGGTCAGGAGGTGGAAAGGAGCTTAATGCCTTGTTAACAGGAAAAATAATGGACACCCCATAAGAATTGGAGGAGGTGTGTTGGTAAGGGCAGAAATACACAGTGCCTGGCTAGATAGTCCAGGCGTGGTGTCAAATAGAAGAGGAAAAACTGTTGAGAATTTGTGTAATTCTCAACACCTCCCCATAATGTTCAGGTAAAGAATGGTACGCAAATAGATTTTGGCACTGACACTTGTTGGAAGTGAATTTGCACCCTTCACACTCATGAGATTTTTGCTGGATGAATGTGAGGTGGGCAAAATTTGGTTTCAGTTGATTCTTCCCTGAGGGGAAAATATTTCATATTTCTTTTTTTAAAGTATACAGCATGGTGGAGGGTCATTCTAGGAGGTATTGGAGAAAAAAACCAGGATTCTCAAAAAGCCCCCAGGTTTTTCAGATCTTCTTGGCTTTTTAATAAGGAAACAGGAATAAAATTCCCACAACCAACTCATGTACTTTTCAAAAAATAAATCCGAACTGCTCTAATTTTTGTTTGGAGGGGGAGATTGCACTTTTAAAGAAAATGGCAAATCAATATAAAATGGAAAGTCATCTCTACTGACAAGGGGAATTTGAAAGGTTTCAAATCTTCAGCCAAAGGCAGGAGGGTAGATTTCCTTAGGTAGATTTCCTCTATAAGCCCCATACAAATAAGCAACACAATGTCCTTTAGAATCTTGTTCTTTTTTTATAAGGAAGATTAAGAAATTGCCTGAGGCTTAGTTGGGAAAAACATGTTTCCAACATCTCCAGGGTAAAATTACTTTTGAATCTAGGGACAGCTGGTTAGTGGTTATGCAAATAAACTTTCTCCAAGTCGGGGTTCTTCTGAGGTGTTGGCTAAGCCTGTCTGGAGATTCGCAACGGACGAGAAAGGCAAGCAACAGAGTGAGAGTAGCGTAGACATTATTCATCTCTATCAACTCACCAGTGCATGATCAAACTTAAAAGTACTGATGTAATAGGCAGGGATGTCTGCGGCAGCTAAAGGCTCAGAGATCTGAGCCACGATTCCACACTCATCTGAGGAGAAGAAAAAGCTCATTACAACTTCACAATGGGAAAAAAAAAGAGCTTGGCTGTAGTTCTCCGAGCCCCAATAACAGCCAAATTAGTTTACAGCAACACTGTCAACTCTGAAGCTGGCTAGACAGTGGCCATCTTACTATTCTACTGGGGTTTCAATGCTGACACAGACTGGAGTTGAGGGATAGGGAGGGGAGTGTAGAGATAGCTGGGGTGCTATAATCAAAACAACATTATTTCCCTTGGGAACCAAGGTCATGTGTGCAGGTGGTTGGGAGGTGGAGACTAAGGTCATCCCATGTCTGGACTGTGTGCTGATTGGACCATGTGACTGATGCCTCTGAGAAAGTGAAAATCTTTTAATTGGGGGGAAACCAGCGGGAACTTTTAGATCTGGTTTTCACCAGCATCGTGCCAATATGACATGCTCTAATAAAATGTTCTTTGAGGAGACCTCATGCCTCGGAGTTCTTTTGTTCGGGGGTATGTTAGTTGGAACCCTGACAAACACTCTGCATAGAGTGGCCTATTCACATTATTCAGAAACCTCTGCTTAGTTTATGAATCAGAAACCTCTTTAAGCAGTAGTGAAATGTAAAATTTGTTACTACTTCTGTGGGCGTGGCTTGGTGGGGGGGGTGTAATGTGACTGGGTGGGCGTGACCAACTTTTTCTTTTTTTTACTTTTAAAAGCATTTTTTCTACAACCTCTTGAGGTTGTAGAAAAAATGCTTTTAAAAGCCTCTGATGATCCCAGCTGAGCCGCACGATCATCAAAGGCTTTTTTTTACTTTTAGAAGCATTTTTTTTTTGCCAAAAAAGCTTTTAAAAGTTAAAAAAAAAAGCTTCTGATGATCGCGCAGCTCAGCTGGGCATGGGGGGGGGTGTAGAGATTTTTGCTACCGGTTCTCCGTACCACCCGCCACCATCACTACCGGATCGGGCAATCCGATCTGAACCGGGAGCATTTCACCCCTGCCTTTAAGCATTGTTGCAATAGATTTCAGCAACTCTCCCGTCTCCTAGACCAGGGGTCCCCAACCCCCAGTCCGTGGACTGGTGGCTGAAACCGGTCCGCACAAACAATTCAAACCCCATTTGAAGGATGCAAGCAGCATGCAAAACCACGCCCCCTCTGGTCAGTGGAAAAACCTCCCTCCATGGAACCGGTCCGTGGTGCCCAAATGCTTGGAGGCTGCTGTCCTAGACCTTGTGAAATTTCAAAGCTCATAAGAGTCTACAGCAGACACCTCTGCTAGGCAAAACTAACGAAATCTTGCCAGACTGGATCCATACATTCCCCCCCCCAAAAAAAAATAACTTCAGAGCTTCACAAAGGGCCACTTTTAGGTGCTGCATTGTTGGTAAACTGTAAATTAAATTTTAAAGCAGAAGCACGCGTTTGTTTCAATCTGCATGGGCTATCGGCCCACATTTTCACTTGTCCTAAAGAGGATGCCAAATATAACAAACAGATATAAATAGTGGCATGTGTTTTATCATTTTTACCAGACCATTATTAATTTAGTGGCAGGATGGACAGTTGCCTTTTGACTATGATAGCAATTCTTTTTTTGGTCCCTCCGGGGTATGCCGGAAAAAAAATAAAATGGTAGACAGTTGCTGCAGCAGCTTGGCTGTTTTCATAAAAATGAAATGATGGAAGACACTAAGAAGTGGCTGCTAAAATCAGCTCTGTGGCAGGAGACAGAAAGAGCTGTTCTTGTTTTTTTTAAGAAACTACAGCCCTTCAAGGCAATAAGGATAAGAGGTGAATAATACATTCCAAGAGATATTTAGTTTAGTCCTACTTATCATGTGGACACAGATATATGTAAGGTGATTTAGCTGGGGGAGGAGGGTGCATAGTTCTGGCACTATTTTTAGAGTGAGAATTAGGATTTAAATCTTCAGAACTTGATTGTTTGCTGATTTTGCAACAAAGCAAAGCCAATCCTTCTCCATTACATGCCTCAGCGAGGAGCGTTCCAGATGTTCTGCCCCCGATTCTTTTACAAATCTACCTCTCAGTGAGTAAGGACTATGGGAACTGCAGTCCAAAATGCTAGAAAATAGTGGGCTAAAAATGAAGCATGGATGTGACTCAGTTAACTGCTATATGCTATTTCAGTCTCCACTTTTCCCCAAGGTATTATAGATGTACTGAAGCTACAATTCTCTATATTCAGAGCATCTAACAGCGGCTGGATTATTTTGCTGACTTTCTCTATGGAAAACGGTCACAAGCAATAGTAAAAATTTGAAAGCCCTCATTAATATTAATACTTTTCTGTCAGAAGCACCGATGTGCTTCTGTGGTGAAAGGATTTGCTGGCGACATCACCGTTGCCCGGGGAAGCCCAGTTGGGGGCTCCTTCCATGTCCCCCACAAAGTTGCCCACTCAAGTGGTACCTATTCATCTACTTGCTTGCTTTCAAACTGTTGGGTCAGTGGAAGCCGGAGCATGTGGCAAAAGCTCACCCTGCCCTGCGGCAGCAATGGGTCCCGAACACGAGGCTGCCAATGGTCAGCCTAGCGTTCTAACCTTGTGAGCCACTGCACTCCTTTTGAAAGCCTCACAGGGGCCTTCTTCTCTCGTCTACTAAAGTCTCAGCTCCATTGAAACAAAGGCACCCTGGCATATTAGAAGAGACTGCAGAGCAGTGGTGAAATCCAATTTTTTTTACTACCGGTTCTGTGGGTGTGGCTTGGTGGGTGTGGTGTGGCTTGGTAGGCGTGGCAGGGGAAGGATATTGCAAAATTTCCATTGCCACCCCACTCCAGGGGAAGGATACTGCAAAATCCCCATTCCCTCCCCACTCCAGGGGAAGGATACTGCAAAATCCCCATTCCCTCCCCATTCCAGGGGAAGGATACTACAAAATCCCCATTCCCAACCCACTCCTGGGGGAAGGATATTGCAAAATCTCAATTCCCACCCCACTCTGGGGCCAGCCAGAGGTGGTATTTGCCGGTTTTCCGACTTGCTCAAAATTTCCGCTCCCGGTTCTCCAGAACCTGTCTGAACCTGCTGGATTTCACCCCTTTTGCAGAGATTGTAGCAGTGACAATATCATTGCCTAAAAAAAAAATCTTACTTTCCTGTAACCTATCCTGTAAATTGGCTTACAAGAAGAATTAATGGTAGCTGTCATGTAAAACTAATGGGACACATCTGCCTTCTTTTTCTTTCTCTCTCTGAAAAAGGGATGTTTCCAGAAGGTCATCCATTCCTTGCTCTGAGTTGTTGTCCTTCTCATACTGGCATTTCCTCGGCCTCAAAGCATTTGTGAATGCAGGGGAGAGCACTTAAAACAAGCCATTAACAACCATGTAGGCTACCAAGTACATAATCTTTATTGCAAGGAGAAGGTAAGGAAGGGCTGAGAGAATAAGGGAAGCCTGCAGACTTAATAATGTGGGATTTAATACTGTTAAAAAATCCTCCGAGGCAAAATAACAGAGGAAGTTGAGATGCGAAATAAAACTTTAGATAATAGGGAGCAGGCCGCAATCAGGGCCAGCCCTATCATTAGACAGAATGAGGTGACTGCCTCAAGCAGCAGACACCGAAATATGATTCAATGTATTTATTCAGACATCCTCAGCAGATGGAATTGTATTTCATATATCTTAACCTTTTTGCCCAAACACCAAAAATGTCTTTGACTGGGCCTTGTTGCAAGGGTCTATGACAGGGGTGTCAAACTCGATTTCATTGAGGGCCCCATCAGGGTTGTGTTTGACCTCAGGGGTCCGGGGTGGAGGGGCCAGGGTGGGCATGGCCAGCTCGACGTCACTCCTGTCGGGGGGCGCCTTTGGTAGCCCAAATGCTCTGCCAGTGAAAACGGGCTCCCGAGCTCCGTTTCCGGCTGCCACGGCCTCCTGCAACCCTCTGCCAGTGAAAACGGAGCTCGGGAGGAGCCCGAAAAGGGTAACTTAATCCTAATACAGACAATGCTCAAAATCCAAAGAGATCTGGATTCAATCACCATATGGCCATGAAGCACTCTGAGTCACCTTGGAACAGCTAATTTCCTATAGTTTGCTATGATTTGGTAACAGAACTGCCAATCAAAATATACTAACACGGAGTACCTCCCCCCACCCCCAATTTATATTTTTGGGGAGGTGGGAATTAAGGGGAGAGAGATTTGTGCAGGTTGGAGGGAAGGTCGGATTCTGAGCCTAAGAAAACGTTCATCTCTGAGTGACATTAGATAGGTTGCAACTCTTAAAATGATTTAATAAAGTTAATGTTTAAACGAGGGATCCAATTAAACAAGTGACTGTGCAATTTTATACTTTTCCCCAGTTCTGCCTTCTCAAGTTACCACAGATATATTGGAAATATGGGGGAAAAAGGACCTCCAAAGAAGGGAAGGGCTTGATGATGACACCAAAACTGTTAAAACTCTTGTGTCTTGTCTGTTTGTTTGTAGCCTTCGACTAAGCGGAATGAAGCATCACAGGGGAACCATTTTTGAATCAACATATCTAAAATGTGCTCACTTACAGAATTGCATCCAAAATCCAGGAGCCATGACTCATGTGGGATTGAAAGTTGCAAGTTCATAATTTCTAATGCTCCTTGCCAGCTTCCTACAAGGAAAATTAATGGGAGGAAGCTGGCAAGAAGTTGGAAATCATTCCTGCTCCCACTGATTTTTATCTGCCCGTCACTTTATGACTGCGTCACTTAGCAATGGTCCCAATTATTGTCATTAAGCAAGGACTACTTGTAATACTTTCAGAATAATGATTCCTCAGCTTGGAAGAGCATTTAGCAACAAGAGCAGTTTTCAGATAATCTTCCCAGAGGGATGGACCTTTTGACATTATTGGGGGTGTTTCAGGAATATTAGTTTAAAAAAAACCAACAACCCTCAACAACCACAAAAGCAGCAGAGGGCTTTCTCCTGATCCAGATGGGGCAACAGAGAAAGGCAGAGAAAGCCAGCAGCCAACCAGTATGATGTAACATACCAAAGCCAAGAGGTTGCCCTCCAATGCGAACCATCTTCCAGAGTTCTCCTGATGCGCTTGTAAACAACAGATTATTAGGAAATCTAAACAGAGAAAAAGACAGAGAAAATAGCAGAAAAAGGAAGAAGTGTCAAAACAATATATATAAATAAATACAATCAATTTAACAATCAATTCTGAATCAATAATTCAATGGTGGCTGAGGATGTCTACTCACATCTATCTCTATTTATCATCTGTCTGTCTGTCTGTCTTTCTATCTTCTACTTATCTATCAATCATCTATCTATCTATCTATCTATCTATCTATCTATCTATCTATCTATCTATCTATCTACCTACCTACCTACCTACCTACCTACCTACCCACCCACCCACCCACCCACCCACCCACCGTGTTTCCCCGAAAATAAGACCCTGTCTTATATTTTTTTGAACCCTGAAATAAGCGCTTGGCCTTATTGACATGTGCTCAAAAGCCTGATTGGGCTTATTATCAGGAGATGTCTTATTTTGGGGGAAACAGGGTATCTATCATCTTTCATCTATTTACATTGATCTAATTCATCTATTTCTCTCCCTCTCTGTCTATCATCTATCTATCTATCTATCTATCTATCTATCTATCTATCTATCTATCTATCTATCATCTGTCTATCATCCATCCATCCATTCTTCATCCTCTTTTTCAAAGGTGGTTTGGTTTAGTCCACGAAGAGGCAACCTTTATGGACTGGGAGTATAACTGAAATTTAAAGCCCTATCTCAGGAAATGGCTGCCAAGAGAAACTTGTCTTTTTATAAAATGGCTGTCTTGGTGGGCACAGCTAGTTATGAAACATCCATTTTTCAGAAGGTGGAGGAGCTCCTCAGAATACTCTCTATCTCGTTCCAATCAATCAAATATTTATTAGAGTTATAGATCAACATATATCTTACTCTAGAGAATCCTAAACACATTCTTGAAGATAAGTGTGATTCTAAAGACTAGCATATTGACTCTGCAGCAGCATGCATCTTTCTACCTGATTTTTTAAAATAAAAATATTTTAAAAGACCAAGAGAGTTATGGAGGCATCAAAAGATATTCCTGTAAAAAATGGTTATCGGAGGTTGGACCAAGAACCTCTTAATTATTCTGGGAATCTTTTCAGTCCCTTCTTGACAATGCACATAACTTTTGAGACATCCAAAATCTTGACAAGTATTTCAGATTTATTCCAGCTCTTACCTTTTCTGCGTCTGTACATCCATCACCAAAGAAATGTATCCCTCAATGAGAGAAAATGAGAAAAAACGAATGTGTTCAGAATCTTCATTGCTTGCCACTAAATCTTTTACTCTGGAGTAAAGAAAAGAGCCAAAGACAAGCATGGTTAGAGTCCATTCAACTTACGCAAAGTCTACTGGATATGGACTGAGGCTGTCAAATTACTGTTCCTAGTTATCATGGTTTGGAGATATACTGGACTTTTTTCTTAGAGTCATAGAAAGTTGAGAGGAGTTTTTCTAAGCATCATTTCTCAAAATGTGAATCTGCAGCCGCCACTGGATTTCAGCATTGCCTAGAAGGATCCTATTGATTCCTAGATAGCAGTTAGAGAAGACACTCTAGGCCAGGGGTGACATGTCGTCACGTCACATCACGTGATTTATCGCAACTTTTTTCCCCTTCGCTAAGCTGGCTGTGGCCAGCATGTGACACATCCGGCCCGTGGGCTGCGAGTTTGACAGCCCTGCTCTAGGCAAATGGCCTGAAGATGTGATATTTTCAATAATAAAAATATATTATTTTTAATGTAGAATTTAATCTTAAACATTGCCCTCAGAAAATCAGATGAAGGCAATCTTTCAGTAACAATTATTTGATGCTCCAGGCTTCTTTCTAGTAACAGCCATTCAAGGATTTTTAACCTTTTCAACTGTAGCTGTGCCTTCCCTCTGAATGGGTTGGATAGCAACACTTGCTGGCTGGGAGTGACTGGAGCTGTAGTCCAAGACATCTAGAGGCAACAGGGCCAAAGGAAGGCTGGTTTAGTTTGAAGAGACATTTATTGAGGAAAGACCTAACTTCATCCCAGTGCTATGAGAAATATTGTTAGTGGGGTTAAAATAAGCAAGTTTAGAAAAGAAAATACCCCAGTCTGAACATACCCATTGGAGTAAAACATGACATCCATAAGGAGTGTAGCAACGGAGGGAAGGGTATCAGGGTCCAGGCTGGTGACACAGAACATGTTACTTGGACTGGAAAGGGGGTGGATGACAGGCCTTTGAACTGGAAGAAAGGGAGAGAAGAGACAGCAAGGTTGAAGGCTTCGTAATGAAAAAAATTAAACTGCAGTACGGATTCCACATTTCTAGCACTGCTAGAAATACAATAATGCGAAGATTTTTTTTACAGACAGAAAGCTAACATGACAAGGAACATTTTCTTGGCATGCTAGTTTTCTACACGCAACGCAAGGGCATTCAACCATCCCTATATCCTGGAGTTGCAAGACTAATAGCAGACTGCACACAATGGCAACTTGCTTGTAATGCCAGAGACTGCGATCCTATGTGCCAAAGGAAAGCATTTTGAGGACTATAGGTCAGATGCATCTACTACAGGTAGTCCTTGACTTACAACATAACTATGGATCTCCTTCTCTGCTTTTCAGTGTATGGGTTGAGAAACAAGTTTGTCCTTGGAAAAATCCTGTACAGGCATACCAGCCCTTTCACCATCATTGCTATTGATAGTAGTAATGAAAAAAAAGGTAGAATGTTGAGGAACATTTCTGAATTGCAGAATTCACTATCCACCCATTTCTCTGACATGCCCCAACAACCAGAAAACAAATGGCTCCCTTCCAAAATAGGAACACTAATTCTGCATCCCTTTGGAGGCAAGAGAAAGGAAGAGTGCTAAGAAACTCTTTAAAAAGGTAGCTGAAAAGTGGGACAGCAATGGGAAAAAAACCCATGTTCCTCCAGGCTACACCTATATTTCAGGAACTGAATTTCCCAGAGGGAAGGAATTAAAAATCAAGGATTCTTAGGCACTTATCAATGCGTTTGAAATATATTATCTCCCCTTAGGCAATCAGCTTTTGTGGGTTGGATTAGAAAAGAAGCATTGGCTCTGAAGTGGGACAGTTGAAGAAGGCAAGAGAGTTCTTTACCCAATTTTGGTTTCATAAATCCATTGGTTATCCCAAGGTTATCGGCTGCCACAGTCTCCCCATTCACAACTCTGAGGATGGTGAACTCAGAAGCCAGGGTGTGCGTGACAAAAGCCAGATCCCGCTCGCGTACCTGAGGGGAAAAAAAATAAAATCTCCTTAGGGCAGGGGTGAAATTCAACAGGTTCTAGAGAACTGGTAGCGGAAATTTTGAGTAGTTTGGAGAACTGGCAAATACCACCTCAGGCTGGCCCCAGAGTGGGGTGGGAATGGAGATTTTGCAGTATCCTTCCCCTGCCATGCCCACAAGCAACACCACGCCCACCAAGCCATGCCCACAGAACCGGTAGTAAAAAAAAATGAATTTCACCACTGCCTTAGAGGAACAAACATCATGTCAACTTTCAGGAATTTAACTCTTCCTCAATGGAATCTATTGATCTGGGATAGATTCTTGTAGATCACAAACATTTGCACTTTGTGTGTGAAAGCTACCACCAGACAGGGCTATGGAGGCTATGTTTGTACTACAAGGTTATTGCCCTTTTCCTATCTTTTTTATCATGGGTGGGTTAACATAAAGTGCTCAACTCTTAGCCCTGGTTTTATTTTTTAAAAAACACAGTTGCTGCCTTCACACAATATTGAACAATGCCTCTTCTTTGGGTCTCTTGAAATGTTTGACAGATAAGGTGAGATTTCTAAACTATTGATGAACTATTCTGAATTGAGTTCAGAATTCTGAGCTTCACAAATGACAATTAAGTAGGCCTTTCTCTAAAGCACTTCATGTTCCTTATTCACAATTACTTAGCAGCCAAACCTTTCCTGTATTATTGGAACCTGCTGTTCCAATTTTGCAATTGGTCAACAAATATTGATTGTTAAGCAAGAAGTTTGTTGAATATACATATGATCATAGGATAGGATAGGATAGGATAGGATAGGATAGGATAGGATAGGATAGGATAGAATAGAATAGAATAGAATAGAATAGAATAGAATAGAATAGAATAGAATAGAATAGAAATAGGAATAGGAATAGGAATAGGAATAGAATAGAATATGAGCTGGAAGTGACCTTGGAGGTCTTCTAGTCTAGCTCCCTGCTCAAGCAGGAGAACCTATACAATCTCAGACAAGTGACTGTCCAGTCTCTTCTAAAAAAACCTCCAGTGATGGAGCGCTCACGATTTCTGAAGGCAAGCAGTTCCACTGGTTAATTGTCCTCACTGTTAGGAAATTTCTCCTTAATTCCAGGTTGCTTCACTCTTTGATTAGTTTCCATCCATTGTTTCTTCCCCAGGTTGGAAACTAATCAAAGAGAGAAGCAACCTGGAATCATAATGTGTCACAAAATATTGCAATACAAATGCTGATGGACAGGATTACTTCTTCCTAATTTTCCATTTCAAACCCCCTGTTCTTAACCCACAACAGATATTTTATCTTCACCAAGCTGTTTATTCCTTTTTTCTACAAACAGTCTTCATTTAGTGACTGCCTCATACAGTGACTGTTCATAGTAGTAATGAAAAAGTAACTTTGTGCCCAATCCTTGTATTTATTTCACAGGTCTCTAAAGCAAAGGAAATCTGAAGTTAAGATTACAAGCCCAGTCATGGTTTCACTTAGCAACCACTTCACTTCGATGACTAAGTTGTTGATCCCAACTGTGGTTGATAAATGAGGACGGCCTGTACTCAAAACCACTCAGCATTCAATGCCTGAACACTTTTGGGTCCTTGCTCTGCATGGTTGATGTAAAAGTAATGTCAACTGTTGCTTGGAAATAAAGACAGTGTTTTATCTTTTTTATTAGAGAACATTTTTAAAAAGGTGCTAAAAATGGACTGGCGGCAAGGCAGTACAGACATGATACATATTTGCAAAAGACAAAATGCACTGCCCTGCTTACTCAAAGAAGTTGAGAAAGATCTGAAGGATAACAATATAAAGATTCTAAACATTTAACCGACAATCATAGATTAACAGATGATTTCAAAATGTGAGTGGTAATGAAGACGGGGTTGGATGGTCCTGGTTAAATTGCAATCCTGGACAATTAGGGACAAATGCAAACTATGGTTTTTTGAGCCCAGAGATTTGGCTCAGCTGAGTTCAAGAAAACAAACAGGTGTGTCAAAGCTTACTATGCACACTATAGCAATTTGTCATGAATAGCATGACAGGAAAAATAGCATGAGAATTTAGCTTCACCCCTCCAAATGTGTGCTTAATTCTTATTAGGATGTCTATGGAGATTCTCAATCATCCAAGTCATGGATGTCCCAAAGTTGCTTTTCAAAAGGTAATTTTCTTAACCCAGCTACCTTTTGAAATGCATCTGTTGGGACTCTTATTAGGATCTTGGTGGAAAAAATATGCCTTCTCCCAGCATTTGTTCACATCAAGTTTTCCTTACCAGAATAAAGTCTGTCTGATAGGTGGAGAGCATAAACACTGAGATATTCTGATTGGCTAGTGGAGCTATGACTGATTTGGCAATTTTGGTCACACCGATAGGCTGAGAGCCGGAGAAGCCACCTCCTCCCGAGACGACATTGAGGGCCAGCCATGTTGCATCTGCTACACTCAAGTGTTCTGACGAAGGGAGCTCTGAAACAGAAGGGTGAAAAAGCACATAAAAACAATTTTATTTATTGCCTTTTAAGGAGAAGAACATAAGCACTGCCCCGTTGGATTGGACCTCTTGGCCCACCTACAATCGTCCTATTGCTATTTATGCTGCTGAGAGCCAATTTGGTCTAGTGTTTAAGGCACCAGGCTAGAAGCCAGGAGACTATGAGTTCTAGTCCTGCCTTAGGCATGAAAGCCATCTGCATGATTTTGGATCAATGACCAGGAGACTGAGAGTTCTAGTCCCACTTTAGGCATGAAAGCCAGCTGGGTGACTTTGGGCCAATCACCAGGAGACTGAGAGTTCTAGTCCCGCCTTAGGCATGAAAGCCAGCGGTGTGACTTTGGCCCAATCATCAGGAGATTGTGAGTTCCGGTCCCACTGGGTGACTTTGGGCCAGACATTCAATCTCAATCCAGTCCATCTCACAGGGTGGTTGTTGTGGAGAAAGGAGGAGGAGGAAGGAATATTATTATAAAAATAATACATGCAGGATAAAAATCTAATAAATAAATAAAGGTTGGAATTCTTTAACTGACAGAGTCCGCTGCATACCCTTCCTACCTGACTGACATAATGGGATGAAGACGGTTTTATCATGTAGCGCTTTAAAGGTCATAATCAACCCTTGAATTGAATCCAGAAGCAAAGCAGCATCAAATCTGATTTGCGCAGCAGGTGTTATATATACGCAATCCTTGGGGTACCCAAGACTGCTCAGACTGTTTTTGTAACAGCTGAAGCTTCCGGTTACTTTTCAAGGGTAAATTAGAACAGCTTAGGTTAAACAGAAACAATTTTCTATTTATGAAAAGACAGATTTTTATTAAGTTCTGGAGCAAACAGCTCGACTAAGTATACATACACCCACATGGTGTTTGTGTTTCCTCTAACCTTTGGTTGCTGGATTGTAGTAAAAACAGAATTGATCCCACATGTTTGAGTCACGCACCCAGAGTAAGAAAAGGGCTCCATAACTATTTCCCAAACAGTGATGATTCAAGCATTAAGAGTCAATATTTAAGTATAACTTTATTGTCATTGTACGTATATACACAGTATACCCATACAATGAAATTCACATAAGACCCAAAGACCAGGCCCAACACACATAACAATCTCCAAACACCCCCCCACCCACCCACCACAAATTCCCCACCCCTGAACCACCCAAACATCCACACAACAGACCAAGTAATGCTGTCCAACAGCTTTACAAAGATAACAAACTAAATTTAAATAATGTTGTATTTTCTCTGATTGATCCTTATTATTAGCAACTTCCCTTATGAGCCCTGCATCCAAATAATGATTAAATTGATAGAGATAGACTCGGAAACAGAGCTAGTTAAAGATTGTATGATAAAATGGGCGCAGAATTTTGAACAACCAATAATGATGGAAATATGGGAAAAAATATGGGTAAGAAATGTGAAATTTACACAAGCGCAAAACTTAAGGGAGAACTTTTATAAAATGTTTTATAGATGGCATCTAGATCCAAAAAACTATCTTGTATGTATCCGAATGTACAACCAAAATGTTGGAGATGTGATTGTGAGGATGCTACATACTTTCATATTTGGTGGACATGTAAAAAGGTTAAAGCGTTCTGGATAAAAATTTGGTGGATTTTACAAAATATTCTTAAAAAGAGGTTAAAATTTATACCACAGTTGTTTCTGCTGGGTATAGTTACGGACTGTATGGTTAAAGAAACTAATTTGATTTTGAATTTAATAACTGCAGCAAGATTGTTGGTGGCACAATATTGGAAGAAGCAAGATTTACCTACAATCCAAGAATGGACAATGAAAGTAACAAACCTAGCGGAGATGGCAAAAATTTCGGCGTACTTGAAGGAACATTCAAATGAAAGATATTTAAGGGACTGGAGAAGATGGATAGATTATATCCAAAGTAAATACCGGAATAAGAAGTTGCAGATAGGTTATGAATAAATATGTAGATATTTGGCGTGTTTTTAGGTAATTAAGTTAGCAGGGTAATTACAGAATTGAAGGAATAAGAGATGCTGAATGTTATAATTATTTAGATTAGGATGGATTATGATTGTTGAATGTTATACCCTGTAATTTGTTCTGGGAAGGGGGGGGAGGTGGGTGGATGGGAAGGGGAAGGGGTGGGGGTAAGGGAGGGGAGGGGGTGAGGGTGGTAGGGAAGGGGGGGAACAAACATGTAAACCTTTTGTAAAACTTTTTAATAAAAAAAATAAAAATGTTCCCTTCTTTAAAAAAAAGTCCAAAAGTGAAAATCATATTCTGCATTAGCTTCCATGGATGGAAGGTGGAAATTGATTAGCTAACAACTTCCATTGAAAACACAAAGGTCAGAGGTGGTATTCAGCAGGTTCTGACCAGTTCTGGGGAACCGGTAGCGGAAATTTTGAGTAGTTCGGAGAACCGGTAAATACTACCTCTGACTGGCCCTGTCCAAATATCTTCTCTGCCTCCCGAGTCCCAGCTGATCGGGAGGAAATGGGGATTTTGCAGTAACCTTCCCCTGGAGTGGGGAGGGAATGGAGATTTTACAGTATCCTTCCCAGTGATGGGATTGAAATAATTTAACAACCAGTTCTCTACCCTAATGATCAACTGGGTAGGCGTGGGTGGGTGGTCATGTGTCTGGGTGGGCGTGGCCAACTCAACATCACTCACATTGAGGGGCGCTTCACCTCACCTGGCCTCTTGTGACCATGGGGATGCTACAACGGTTGAAAAAAAACAAAACAAAGGGAGATTTCTTTCAACAACCGGTACTCTGAACTGCTTAGAAAGTTAACTACTGGTTCTAGCGAATAGGCGCGAACCACCAAGCCACGCCACGCCCAACAAGCCATGCCCACAGAACCGGTAGTAAAAATTTTTTGAAGCCCACCACTGATCCATAAGTATATATTTGCCTCCGTATGTATATGTTACAACTGGATTCCACAACTTCTGAAACCAAAGCTGACTACTCTCTCGTTTGCCTAAGGCTAAGCAAACTGCATCTCATAAACAAGGCATCTCTTATTAAAAGAAAAATAATAATAATAGAAAATGATTGAATTGCAATTTCTGGGTACTTTTCTTGGCAGGCTGGGTGGAAAAGTACAATTCAGGTTTATAGTAAAACAAACAAAATTTAGAAAGTGATTAAGCGTAGCTGAGAATGACCTAATTGAATGTGTGGGTGGATTTTTCTGTTCAAGAGACTGTGAAATATAGAGTACAAAAAGTGCCCTGAATTCCAAAACACAGCTTTAATGGATTGGGGGGTTCCAGAAGGCAGAAGAATTTATTAAAAAAAGGAAGTAAACAACTAGGGTGCTCAAATGCCTTTGGCAAGGGAGAAAGGGACTCCTCTTGCTGTTTTTAATTTAACCAATAAATAAATAAAACTAATAATAACATCACTTGAAACACCATCAGCATGGATAAATCAATCAACCAATCTTGGATTGATTTGATTGTGATTTGTTTGTTTGGTGGTTGTGAGCCACCCAGAATCCTTGTGAGTTGAACCCTTGAGAATTGAGCAGCATACAAAGTTAAGTAATTACACTGGCGGGGTCCAGGAGGAGAGCCTTCTCTGCCCTTTGGAACATCTTATCCCCTTTGGGCAAGGGTGGGCTTCAAAAATTTTAGCAAGGGTTCTCTGCCCGGTTGCTGGGTGGGCATGGCCATGGTTGGGGTGGCCTAGTCGGCTGCCTGCACCACAGTGTGGGGGTGTTTTTGCCCTCCCCGGGCTCTGGAGGCTTTCCTCGATCCTCCGGGAGGGTGAAAACGGTCTCCCCAGGCTCCAGAGGCCCTCTGGAGGCCCCCTTCCCAAACTTCCGGTAGGCCCATTTTTTGCCCTCCCTGAGCCTCTGCGCATGCCCTGCACTTACCTGCATCCAAAACGGGCCACATGGGGACTCCTGGGAGGGGTGGGGCAGGGTGGGCGGGGCCAGCCAGTAGTGGGATTTGGAGGTTCTCCGAACTGCACAGAATATTAGTTAGAGGTTCTCCCGAACCCCTGCAAACCCCCAGCAGCCCACCTCTCCCTTTGGGTAAGATCTGCTCCCATCTCCTGACCATCTGTAAGGGCCTGAAGACCTGGTTCTGCCATTTGGCTTGGAGTCCCAATGGGGGAGTATCATGCTGGAGGAGCTTGATGGACCAATAGAGGAGGCCACCTCCCTCTCTGCGCATCCTGCTCCATCCCTCCCCATCTTTTAATTATAATTCAATGATCATGTGTATCTTTATGATTAGAAATATTTATTTTTTTATGGTTTTATTACTTTTAATGTTTGTAAGATGCCTAGAGTCTCTTTGTGGGAAGATGGCCGGCAAACAAATATAACAAACAAGCAAACAAAATTTAAACGTATAAAGAACGGTTGCAGGAATTGAGTATGTTTCGTTTAATGAAAAGAAGGAGTGTGTGTATGTCTGTGTGTGCGTGACATGATAGCAGTGTTGCAATATCTGAAGGGTTGCCAGAAGGAAGAATGGGTCAACCTGTTCTCCAGAGCATCTGAAGGCAGGACAAGAAGCAATGGATGAAAGCTAATCAAGAAGAGAACCAACCTAGAACTAAGGAGAAATTTCCTGATAGTTAGAACAATTAATCAGTGGAACAACTTGCCTCCAGAAGTTGTGGGTGCTTCAACACTGGAGGATTTTAAGAAGAGACTGGACAACCATTTGTCTGAAATTGTCTAGGTTTTGTGCCTGAGCAAGTGGTTGGACTGGAAGACCGCCAAGTCCCTTCCAGCTCTGTTATTCTGTTAAGTAAATAAAATTTATACTAACACTGGAGCACCAATTGAACACCATTATCAGCGCTGACAAATTCACCATCAGTCAATTGCAAAAGGCAGCTTTACTGGGAACAGCTTACAACCTTCGACGATACCTCTTATACCATAAAAAAGGAGTATCAAACTCAAGGCCCGTGGGCCGGACTGGACCACGGCACACATCTGGCC